TTGGAAAGCTGTGGCTAGTCAGTGCAGACAGGGATCTGTACATGCTAGTGTCATAGGCTCCTATGACATTTTTGCCAGTGTCCTGTGATTCTAACCCATACTGATCCTGGAACCACTGAAAAGAACTAAGATTGGAGGCAGACGTCAAGGCAATGATATATGATTTAAATTGAATTCACTATTTATTTAGTTTATTCCTTAAAAAGTAAAGGCAAAACTTAAAACAGGCAATTGAAGAGCAGAATTGCCAAGCTGCAGAGCTAGGGGTGTTTAAATCCACTGAAATCCAGTTCTGTGCTGGGCTGCAGTTTCCACGTTCAGGATGTTATACTTCCATTTAATTTGGCAGTTACTGACTGGGTAGAGCATTTAGAAGGTTAAAAACTTTTTAACTAGCCACCATAGCTTTGCCGCTAAGAGCAGAGCTTTATGTACAGATATTAGCAGGTGATAGTGCTTTTCTCCATGCTTTGAAAAGGTTCACTGGTTGACTTCTGCACATCAGGCTGCTGTTAAAAGACAGGACTTTTTCTAACAAGGCCAGAAGAGTGCTTTGCTCCCTGCACCCCACCCCACCATCACTCCATGATAAAAATAACAGCCAAGTTCCCAAAGGACCTTGGAAATTCAGGATGGCTTTGCATACATTTTGTTTTTGGATACAAATATAGCTGATATGGATGAGGCATGCCTGTTGTGAAGGGACTGTATTTGCATTATTTTCTGCTTGTCCCAGAAACTGTGTACAGGAAAGCACTAGGGCTTCTATGTGTTTCAAACGAATAACTGTCAAATAACTGTCAAATAATGTACCGTATTTTTCGCCCTATAGGACGCACTTTTTCCCCTCCAAAAATGAAGGGGAAATGTGTGTGCGTCCTAAGGGGCGAATGCAGAGCTTTCGCTGAAGCCTGGAGAGCGAGAGGGTCAGTGCGCACCGACCCCTCTCGCTCTCCAGGCTTCAGGAGAGCCCCACCGCCAGCCCCACAAGCTCGGAGGACAGCGGGGAGGCGCACCGCGCCTTTCCCGCTGTCCCCCGACTTGGTTAGAAGGCTGGTGGGGGGGAGAAGCCTGCTCCTCCCCGTCGGCAGCCCTGCAAACTTGGGGGACAGCGGGAGAGGCGCAGCGCACCTTTCCTGCTGTTCCCCGACTTGGTTAGAAGGCTGGTGGAGGGCTTCCCCCTCCTCCAGCCCCGCAAGCTCCCAGAGCGATGCCAAAGCTGCACGCAGCTTCGGCATCGCTCTGGGCCCCGTTCTGGGGGCTGGGGGAGGGGGAAGCTCGGGCTTCCCCCGCCCCAGCCCCGTGCCTGGGGGGGGGGAAATAATTTTTCCCCCTTTATTCCCCCCCCCCAAATCTAGGTGCGTCCTATGGGCCGGTGCGTCCTATAGGGCGAAAAATACGGTATGTCTTCACAATAAATGTAATGCACATATGTTCAGTAACTGGGTATCTGTACTCAATGCAAAATAACGCAAGAGAAGGAAGCTGCCCTCAGTGAGTTTTATATAACCAATATGTGTATCTACTGATCATAAAGAAGCAGGATATAGAAATGAATACACTGATGAATACACTCTATCAAATGAGATTCCCTATACCTTGCTTTAAAAAAGCACAATCCCCATTATTCCTTAATTTAAAGAGTAATTACTTGTGTTTCTTTGAAGATGCCCAATGGGGAATTTTTCCCTTTATTGAGGAACGATGCTCCAAATCCTGATATATATTCAAAATGTCTTGTTTGGGCTTTCGGAGGAGAGGTCTTTGTTTTAGATCTTCTTCGGCTGTCATTTCTTCCTACATTCACCACAGACTACTATGAGGGCACACAGAGTGCACACAGGTATGGGAACAATAGACTAGACAACCTATTTGGAGCTTCAGCTTCAACACATCATTGATTTCTCTCACTGCTGAAGTGATGGCACAAACCCATGACAAAGTGAATAGATAACAAAGGCATGGTAGCTAATAGATATTAATGAATCTGACACAATAAAACATTATAATAGCAACCATGAATAAAAAACCAAATTTGAACAGTACCCCTTTCCATTAAAATACTCTGCATTTTAATTTCATTCTCTTATGACCAAGATGTTGACTAAAGAGAATAAGGGATTTGATCAGTTTTCTTGCTGATGGAGCCGAGAATAGCCTCCAGTTTATGACTGAGCAGGATATTGCCCCTCACCTTCACCTTCCCAACCAGGAAAGCTCTCTGTGGCTTTATCTTGCCCAGTGCAAGCTCCATGAAGTCAGAGAGAATGAAGAGTGTTTGCAGGCTTGCAGGAAGCACCACGGTAGACCTCGCCAGAGCCAGTCTTCAGGTCTAGAATCCACTGTGCCGCCATCTTCCCTCCATTCATGACGTCCCACTGAAAGATGGCATTCACCTTTATCACAAGGTACTGTCAATCTCTTTGATGTGGCGGTCAAATTCTTCAAAGACCAGGCCACTTTGAAGCCTGGTGGCTTTTGCCAAAGAATTTTTGGAGGCTGATACCAGACATGTACACATCTGAGGAAGCTGCTGTCTCAGAGGTGTACATGTCTGGTATCAGCCTCCAAAAATCTTCATCTGAAGAAATTTTTGATCTTCATCTGAAGAAATTTTTATTTCTTTCCCCTTCCACAACTCTGTGTGTGTGTGTGTGTTAGAATTACCAATTATTACCCAGATAGTAGGGTAACAGTAGGATTCCAGATAGTAGGGTACCTTTCAGATTTACCTCAGTGCGGACACAACAGCTGTGTTACCTGTGTTACTTGTATGTCTGGCTGAGTAGGGTTTGGGTTTCACAGGCATCATTTGCCTGTTGGGTGATGCCAGTCAGCATCAAATTTTGGTTAATTTGCATGCTGTTATCTCATTGGTGAATATGCTCCACAGCACTTACTTTTGAACTCGATACATTACAGTTTATACCAGCAGAGCAGAGCTTCCAGTCCGTAGGTCTAAAGTTGCCCATGAGGCCATTTCCTGCTCACTTGTCAATATGTCAGTTACTGCACGCTCCATAGCTTTATTTCCATGTTTTCCTTGGGGGCCTCAGCTGCGAATTCTTTGCTGCAGCTTCCATTAATCTAGTGGGGCATCTTTAAACACCACAGCCATTTTATTTGTATGCTGTAGTTAAAACCAGGCTCAAGGCGGCTCACAACATGAAAAGATTTACGTAATTACAAAAGTAGTCATAAACATGAAAAATACACCAAAAAGTACACAAAAAGAGTTTCCATAAGATCTAAAAATAAAGATGCAAAAAATAAGTATTAATGACAGCAACAAAACTCCTCAAACAATACCCCAGCCCAAGAGTTTGTTCAGCAGCCTCAGTTTTCGTAGCTGGAGTCAGTCCGGGCCCCCGCCCACCGTATTCAGTGGGAATGGGCCAGTGGTTGCTACTGATGCTCTGGAGCACTATTGCAAACTGCCACTTGCTTCCACAGGTCAGCTGCTGGTGCACCGCATGAACTTTGCACCTTTTGTGCCTTCCTACTTTTGCTGGTACACTGTAGTGCAACCCTGTCCCTCCTTTCTCCTCCTTAAATGCAGAGCCGGAATGTGGTACAGTTTATTAGCAGCTCAGGGGTTGCTCCTACCATGAGTTTTCACAGGTGCGTTTGAGGACACTTTGCTTTAGTGCCTGGATAACATTGCTGCCACTCTGTTGTTATTTACTTTTCAATCAGTCTTACTTCATGCATCAAACTGCAAATGAGATGTGTGTGAAAACCACTCTTTTGGGAAGACAAATGATACTTTGTTTTGGAAGAAAGGTGTTTTGATAACAATTAATGGAGAGAGAAGCTGCTTGGGTGGATGTTTTTTATTTGTGTTTTGTTTTATTACACTAGAGGGAAATTTCCATTGTCTTTTGCCCTGGTCAACTCTGGTTGACCATATTTGAATCTGGTCCTCAAGACAAGCGGTGAGCCACCACAACTTATAACAATTGCTTTGTTAGCCTGCAGTGGAACAACTGTTACCTCTGTCCAATACAATTTCAGGTGGGTAAACCCTTCCCCTAAATCTTCTCCAGAAATAATATGGAGTAAATAGATTTGAATGATAATAATAACATCCATAATAACACTGGAAAAAATACAAGAGGCTGATCCCATGATATTGAAAGAGAGAGTCTACATCAGTGTTGGGGTATGGCTTCTTTGAGTCACTCAGAAAATGAAAAGAACTTTGGGAAGCTTGAATTCTTTTTGAACTTTAGGCCATTCCATACACTACTGGCCAGGAAATCTCTATGTGCCACCAAGTATACACTCACCAGGTAGCTTCAGATATGTTCACTGACATGTGTATCTGAAATGTAGTTTGCCAGACATGTATCACACGCTACATGTTTGAACATTCCTTACCAATAAGCCTAAAAACCAAGTTCCAGGGTCTTCAATGCTTCAGTATGTTGACTATACAGATCTGCAGCCTAACAGCCTGAAAGGTCAAGGCAAGTAACAACTGGAATGAAGATCTAATCTATAGTTATATATAATGAATCCAAACACATAGAACCCCTAAAAGCACATATATAGCAGAGCTGCTTGACCTGACAAGCTATCTGACTACAATAGGATTTTAAATTGCTGTTCTTTCCTAGACGTCCTGTGCCACAGACTCTGGTATAAAAACAAAGATACAGAATGGCATATTTGGCAAAGCAGATGGCATCCGCCAAGCTGTGGATTAGAGGGGGCTGAAATTCCCTGACTTACCAGCACAAACAACAGCAATTTGCAATCTGCTGTCTCTGCTCTCTTTGCACAAGGCTGCTTGGTAAGGCCAGACTGCCTTTGCTGGCTCAGGTAGAAATGCCATCAGACACAGAACACAAACATAAACCGCCCTTTTCGAGGAGAAAAAGGCTTCTGGGAGTGCAGAAGTAGCAGGTGGTAAGGGAGTGTTCAACCTTTCTCCTGTTCCAAATCCACCCCCACTGCAGCTTTCCTCCCCACTGGGTTTCAAGTGCAGAAATACTGTGGGGTGGAGGAGGTCTAAGAGCTACAGTTACGTACGTCTGCATTCAATGTGCAATTTGGCAGTCAGTGGCCAGAACAATGTGACATACTGAATGTACCTCATGAAAGAAATGTGGCAAAGCTTTTTTGAGAAGGCTGATTGTGACACACTTATGTATAAATACCGATTTAAGAGGTAATTTTGATACGCCATGCCGTTTGCATGGATAAGCCTCACTGAATTTCCTAAAAGAACAGACATCCTACAGAAGAAGTACTCAGGAGGCACACTTTATTAAAGGTTTTCTCTCTGTCAAAAAGTTTAAAAGACACACACACAGAGAGACACACTGTTCACAATAAATAAATAACAGGCAAATCAGTCTCATTTAAATTCAATTATTTCCCACAAATTGTACAGCCAGACACACATAGACAATACAACAGGCATATACAGGGCTATGAAAAGAGACACAAGTGACATCACACCAACAGAATCAAAATATAAGCTTACTCTTTAGATTCCAAGTGAAAATGTAAGGAAAAAAACCCGATTTTATAAAACCGAAGCATATGATCAATAGCTCATACAAGCAGGACTGCTACAACCTGTACAGAAAAAAACCACCATTCCTCATTCAGTAACAATGGCCCTCTTCTTACACGATGCTGATGAAAGAGCTGCTGCAGAGAGTTCCTTCCTCTATCACCAAGGCAGCAGGAAAAACCTTGTGCCACATCAGAGGAGCCTGTGCTGCAGGCCCTCTCAGAACAACATGGTTCCGGTTTCTGGAAGGGGTTGGGAGGAGTTGCAGTGGAGGCCCCTTCTGCATGGCCTGCATCTTCTCATAGTTCCTGGTGGCACACCACCCACACTACCAGAATGTCAGATGGCTCTAACATCATTCTGAGTTTGGAAGGGGTTCCAAGTGCCTCTGGAGCTCAACATGAGGTTACAGACAAGCCCCTGTTCCCTTCCCCAGTTCCAAGTTCAAGAAGTGGCCTGGAGAATGCCACACTAAGTGTGGCTCCAAAAGAACAGCGTAACACTGAAGAGCCCCAGGCTCCCTCCAATAACAGAGTTTGGGGGAGGGAAGCTATTTTTCCAATGTGCTAGGAGCCTATCCAGAACACAGGACAGCTGCAGGGTCGTCCTCTGCCCCCAATCCTCCAACCCCTCTCCCCCACTACAAGTGGGCTTGCCATATTCACTGCAAGAAGTAGGTGGAGACACTTGCCATGACAAAAGCATTTGTAGACGTGTGCCAAGAACCATGTGGAATATCTGATCACTTCCCATTTACATGGGAACCAACCAGACAGATATGGCAGGCACACTTCAGTAACAACAACATAAGAACCAGAAAACCAGAAAAATGTCCTTTACTACCCCCACTTTTAAGCATTTTAGCAATGGAGACAGGTAACATCCCTTTGATTGTTCCTGAATGCAACATGGTGCAGGTCCGTAACATCTTACTTCTCTGTTCCAAATGCTCTTTCTGTCCCAATTTGTTCGTGTAGGAATTGAGTGCTGTCAGCTAATGAATAGAAAAGGTTGCCAGAAGCTTCTGATGGAGTTTTTCTGTCAAAGCAAGAAGTGGAGTATCACAAGACATGGAGGGAGAGCTTGATATTCACCAAACACACAGTATTATTTTATATTGCCATTGCTTTTCCTCACCTTAATAAACAAGGAGACAGCTTCATTTTAAACATCAGTTTGAAAACTGTTAATCTTTTGAAATATTATTTATATATTACTCATTAGCAGGATTTCCCACACTTCTGATACCTTGATTAAAACTGTACTTTCTAGCAACTGTGATGCTTCCAGGATTCCTGCATGACTATCAGCTGTCACACGGGCAGCAGCAAGAAATACCTGGTCCTTTCTTATTCATTCTACCAGGATGTCACAACCCATATACTGGCAGAAAGAAAGGGAACTGAGGATGCACCCAACACAGTAGCTTGATTCTTCACGATTTCAGTCCCTCTCCAAGCACACCAATGTCTAAGGGTCCACATTTTGCGTAAAGTGTGCAACCCTGCCAAGCCACACCTCATCCTTAATCCAAGGCATGAACAGCACACAGCCAAACTATCACCGGCTTCTACTTATTTCCAATCTGAAATTGGCCCATTTATCCCCACCACTCTTACCTTTTACAAAAGGTTAATTTTGCTATACAAAATTAAACAGAAAAGTATGGGAGACAGAAGTGATAGATTCTCACAGAAGAGTTTGGGATAGAAATAAGAATGATATCTGGAGGGGTAAGAAAGACCAAGGCATGAACAAGAGATTTAGTCATAACAAGTGAGAGGAAACACACAACAAGCAGGCAGAGAGAGGGGCACGAGGCAGAGGGGAGGATATGGTGATATATAGCTAGATGTTGTCATAGGATACTGAAAATAATTTGCCTTTATGGAGTCCCCCCCACAAAGAAAAGAGTGGAATAGGAATAGAAGAAAACCAAGAAAAGAACCTTGAGAAATCAATCAGAGAAGGGAAAGGCTAAAGAGGAGCTTCGCCCAGTGGGAACAAATCAGTGATCAGACAGGAAGGGGAAGAAACAGTTAAGAATAGTCATAGATATCTACAACACAGATGAAGTCAAGCTGAGGAGGATGATCAACTGTATCAAAGGTAGCCCAGGTAAAGGACCCCTGCATGGTTAAGTCCAGTCAACTTTGACTATGGGGTGTGCCACTCATCTTGCTTCAGGCCACAGACAGCTTTTCCAGGTCATGTGGCCAGCAGGACTAAACCACTTCTGGCACATGGAGCACCGTGATAAATGCCAGAGTACCAACCTTTGGATTTGCAAATGAAGTTGTAGAAAAGGATACCTGAAATATCAACTTCTTTCACAGATGAAATTGGCTGCTGGTTAGCAAAGTAAAACCCATTCTCAGTTGTGGGTTGTTGTTTTTTAGAATAGGAAAGGTGATGGCATGTTTGCATTCAATAAGGAAAGGGACAGAGAAAAATTGGCTGATGACATAGTGGCTGAAAGGCAATAAAAATGGGGGAGAAGGCAACTGGGAGTCAGGAGGTCAAGGGACATGTGGAGTGGTCAGAGTAGAGTAGCCATCTCATCAGCCTAAGGGGGAAAGGATTAAGGGAGGTGGCATGTGAAAGAGATTGTGTCAGATAACTTTAATGTTAGTTAAACAGAAACCTGTTCAACATAACAGTGGGGGCCCTTCATTTTATTATCTTATTCCACCCCACCCCACCCATTTTCCAAGTAACTGTTACAACTTTTAAATCTCCTTCAACTTCATTCCTCCCAAGTAATCACTTTTAAAATGGGACCAATGTCCACTCAAAGTTAATAAAATCCAGCCACAAAAAGCGAGAAGGATTTGTTAGATACTATTTTATGGCATCAAATCTGTGGTTGCTTAGTTTCTGCTCTGGAGAAAAACAAACACAAACCAGGATGCAGATTCTCCAAACAGCTACTACCTTGTTTTGAACTTTCCCTTTTTGGGGAAGGTTTCTGAGTGAGGAGTAGCCTGATCACTTCAGGCACACCTGGATTCTATCAGCTTTCTGGATTCCTGCCAGTCTGGCTTTCAGCCTCTGCATGGCAAAAACAATGTTACCGTGGCCTTGGCTGACCAACTCCACCTAGAGATGGACTGGGATAATTGCAACCTAAATGATGCATCCTTTGACACTATTGAGCATGAGCTGTTTGTGGAATGACTGGCCAGTGGGATCACGCCCTGCTTATCCTAAGGGCTTATTGTTTTCACCTTCTGCCCCAATAAATCTTTTGTGCAGTATGATGCATCCCATTCAAAATAGCCTGTTTCATTTCTGGGTGACATGCTATGTTAATCTCAAATTAGGAATGCCCAAAGGAATAGCAACCGTCTTATTTTTATACTACTTTTGGCATCACAACTTCTTCCTGCATCCCCAAGGAAGCCATAGGTCACATGGAAGTGGTACAAGCCACTGTTGTCTCCATTTGCAAGAGGGGTGACGCTATCAATGTGCAGAAGCCACAGTCTGAGCTACATCCAGATGATCCAGAGACTCTGATTTTTACTTTTCCAGAAAAAGCTGTGCAGCAGTGGATCAAGAAACCCAACGGAAAACTTAAACAACAGATTTGCCATGTGACTATCTCTAATGCAAACAGAACGGGTCATGTGCTGGGGCTGATTTTTGGTTGCCAACCAGCCTTTAGACCTTGTAACAGTTATTATGTGCCAAAAGAGCAACAGCTAAGCATAAGGAAAGAGGAGGAAGAAATTTTAAGTCATTTGGAAAGAGAATATTAAAAGGACCCAAAGCTTGAAGTGCATGCAAAGAGTGATGGCAGGAGAGAAATTATCTCAACAGCAGTCAACAAAATTTAGCAGAGACATGTCAAACTGACTGAGAGAAGATAATGGAAGAATGGGAGGCCAGCATGAATAGAGCTGAGTAGGCCAGGAACAGGCTGCCTTCGGTCTTGCATGGTCTAGTCCTCATTATCTGCCATGATGTGTTAACTTGCTGTAAATTCACAAAACAACAATATACACTCAAGTTCTCTTAACTGTTATGGCATAAGTTATCAGTGCTAAGTCATATACAGTTTTGCTTAAAAATGCATGAAGTTTGCTGGAGAAGTCAACTGTTTGTAAGAATCTCAGCAACTAGCAGCTGCTAGTTGGCAAACTAATAGACCAGGGGTTGGGAACCTGTTGCCCTCTAGACATTGCCAGACTCCCATCAACTACAGTGAAAATGGCCAGTGGTCGGGGAGGATGGAAGTTGTAGACCAGCAACATCTGGAAAGCCACAGATCCCACATCCCTGCAGAAGACCAACTTACCCTCTTCTCATCCCTGGATTATATGAGAGTTGATCATGGTTTAGCTCAATGTTTTTAAGCACCAAAGAAATAATTGAAAATATTAGGAACTATGCATTCATGAATTCCCCTTCACCCTGCACTGAAGCATGCAAAGAGTGAGTTCAAGATATTAGCTGGGAAACAAGGGTCCATACCTGAGCCTGTTTTTCATAAGTTACGGTTCCCTTTCCGAAGACACGTCCCCCTCAGCCCCACTGCTTGCACTAGGATCATTTTTACTTCTAGGAACATTTCTCTCTCTGCTTGATTCAGAGGGTGCCTTCATCCGGGTCTTCTCTTTCCTCTGCTGCTGTTTCTCAAGTTTTGCCAGCTGTTTGCAAAGTAAAACAAAACAAGAAGTTTCATAAATGCACACTAGAGACTGAAGCAGCTCAGCAGCACTGAAAATATTTTGAACAGACCACTGCATTAAAAAACAAAAAACTTAAAACTTTGGCATCTCTTAGGAAGATTATGCACCAAATCTAATTTTCTGCCGGGAATCATCTACTGCTACGGAACCTTGGGATTTGTGCAAAAGACACATATTTTGTCTTTTAAAAAATGAATTACAAACACAAATTACAGCATGATATAATGAAATTACCATGTGTACAGTATTCCAATAGTATAAGCTTTCTTTAGTAACATGGACATTCATCTTAAGTAACAGGTGTTAACCCTTCCGGCATCTGTTTGAAATATTTGTAAAACTTTATTAGCATTTTTTTTAAAGCAAACTTGAGTCACATCATACTCTTTGTATTCCTCAACAATTAAGGGGCCAGTTGTCCTGTGATGTTTCCTTCCTCTGCCCCACCTTTTCAATTTTCTAAAAAGTTATGCTTTACTTACTTAGCTACAAGGGTGCAATTTACTTTTGCTGAAATGAACACTGAAACTACCAAACATCTGTGCTGAGGTGCATTTTATCCCCAGAGACTATTCAAAATAGGACAGAGAAAGTAACTTCACATTTTGCCTATATCAGGGTACCAGAGTAAAAGGTTTGTTTTTGTAAAAAATAAATGCAAAAAGGTGTGCAACAATAGACAAGCAAGGAGCTACAGTCAGGTAAGAAGCAAAGAAGTTTAATAGCAGAGACTGGAAGCTTGAGATGACTGTGAAGGGTGTCAGGATACCAATACAGAGACATAAGGAAAGTATGAATTCCCTTCTCTTCTGAGTTTACCTTGTCCTTGAATATATTAAGACATCACCATGCAAAATGATTTCAATTAGTGTAACAGGCAGCTGACATTACTGTGGAGTCATTACACCAAGACATTATTTGCCTATCTATGTTATCAGTGGACAAATCCATCCCCAGGTGCCCTGTCCAGAAACTAAAAATGATTTATACTAACTTCAAAATTTACTCCAGTCAAGATGTTCCTGTGAACTGATAACATAAACCCCTACCCAAAACACAAATTAACTGGTAACGATCACACATAATTAAAATGATGTTATTACCACCTATTTAGCTGCATAACGATGTGTGATGTTTAAAAGCACAACAGACTCATTGACAGTTCAGCCCCTCCCTGCTTCCTTATCTCAGGCTGCACCTCCAAAATATGGGTCAGAAATAGTAGAGGATTGATTTCCTTATGGACAATAAGAACAAACGGGATCAGTTTAATCACTTCTGCAATCACTTCTATTGCAGAATGGGCATTAAAAATTCAAACTAATATTCCTCTTCTAGGAGTATTAAGGGAGTGTGGTACATTTTCAGTACATGCAGTCCTCCTTGAGGTCCCTCTTCCCCCAGGTATCATCATTTAAGTCCTACAGCATCACTCTTCGTCACAATGAAGCATTTCCAGTTAGATATAAAGTCCTTCAGAAGGACCATGAAGAGTTTTTTTCTTTCAAATCTATTTCAATTGGTGTGAACTTCACAGGGACGTAAATTATGTCTTTGAAACACAGTAGAATAGATTAAAAGAATCTCATCAGAATAAGAGAGTTTGGGTTGCTTTGAAAGAGAAAAATTAAAAGGGCCTCCTAAAACTCTTAGCACTGCCATGGAGAATGACCGTTCTTTGTGTACATGGCTCCCTTGGCAACAGTTACCAAGGTAAGGCCCAGTCACAGAGAAGGTAAATCACATAAGCTTCAATGAGTTCAAAATGTTCATTCATGATGGATCTCTTAAAAGCAGCAGACCAGCCTCTCCCCCCCCCCCCCCCGCATCTAATTTCTTTGGGTGGACTTGAAGAGTATTTCCCTACCATTGCAGGGGAGAGAAAGCCTAGGCATATTTGTTTCTTTGTTGCATTTATATCCCACCTTTTTCTCCAAGGTCCCCTCTTCATTTAATCCCCACAACAACCCTGTGAGGTAGATTAGGCTGAGAAGAAGTGAGTGGCCCAAGGGCGCCCAGTGAACTTCGTGGCTGAGTGGGGATTCAAACCCCGGCCTCCCAGATCCCTAGTCCAACACTCCACCCTCTAAACCACACCCTTGCGCTCAAATTTATTGTTCAAGGGGGCTTCCTCCTAAGTATGAATAAGATTGTGGTGCTAGTTAATGTTCTTAAATCAAGTCAGATGCATTTAGCCGCCCTGGGGCTGGGGAGGGCGGGGTATAAATAATTTGTTGTTGTTGTCGTTCACTGGATATGAACAATGACTGCCACTGTGTCCACAATTTCACTCACTCTAGCAGCCAACAATGCCAAGGCTTTGCCACAACATCACCCCTTCTCTATATGCTGTAAAATCAATCGTGTGCTCAGCACCATCATACTAAGTTCTAAAGTAAAGAAGAAACACGTGGGCTCATTCACGCACTGCAATGAACCATGGTTAAGGAAACTTGTGGTATCGTATATTTGAATGGTTAAACCATCGTTTTCGATTAGCCAACAAAGCAGAATCAGAAAGCATGAACCAAATTGAATTTTAGTTATTTATTTTATTTCAAACAATTTATATCCCACTTGATTGTAAAACACCTCAAAACACTTTACAAAAAGAACAGAGAGTCATTGAAGTGACTTTAGAACAAATTCATCTGCATGAGAACTTCTACTTGCACAACGAGGTTTTCGCCCCCTTTCATCCCAGGAGCTCCCCAAAATTGGCTTGTGGGGAGTGAGAAGAACCCTCCAGAACAGTGCATGGGGGGAGGGAGGCGGGATCATTCTGTCTGGCAAGCTGCAATTTTCACATTAAATTTCATTGCGTTCACCATAGCACAATGTTGAATCCCGCCCAATTACTACAATTTAAAATAAAAATACAACTCCCACTCTATTCTGCCTTGGTCAGACCCTGGAACGTTGTGTCTAGTTCTGGGCACCACAATTTAAGAAGGGTGCTGACAAGCTGGAACGCGTGCAGAGGAGGGCAACCAAGGTGATCCAGGGTCTGGAAACCTTATAAGGAACAATTGAGGGAATTGGGTATGTTCAGCCTGGTAAAGAGGAGACTGAGAGGAGGTATGAAAGCCAATTTCAAGTATCTAAAGGGCTGTCACATGGAAGATGAAGCAAGCATGTTTTTTCCTGCTCTGGAGGCTAGGACCTGAACCAAAGGCTTCAAGTCACAAGAAATGGGATTCTGACTCAACATCAGGAAGAGCTTTCTGACAGCAAGAGTTGTTCGACGGTGGAACAGACACCCTCAGGAGGTGCTGGACTCTCCTTCCTTGGAGGTTTTACAGCAGAGATCGGATGGCCATCTGTCAAGTATGATCTAGTTGAGATTCCTGCATTGCAGGGGGTTGGACTAGATGACCCTTGGGGTTGCTTCCAACTCTACAATTCTGGGACCCCCAACCTCACTGAGAACAGCTACATGCTGCAATTAGCCAACAGAAGGCTTGTCTGAAGCCAAGTTACATCTGAGGAGGATACTTGCAGGTGGAGACAGAGCTAGAAAGTAAAGGATTACTCTTTCTTTCCCCAGCTACTACTCCCATCTAGAATTGCCCTTATTGCTGCAATTAAGAGTTGGAAAAAAAGCCTTTTTATTGGTTCCAATAATTGGATCCAATTAAGGCTTTTTTCTAGCCTAATTCTGTGATTGTAGGGGGAGGTGCTTTTCCTGGATATTGCCACTGGGGAGGAAGATTAGTGCTACATTCTCCAGAATTCCTCCCCACATTAGGCTTGAAAAATGATATTTCTCCAAGCCTTGTTGTTGTTGTTTAGTCGTTTAGTCGTGTCCGACTCTTCGTGACCCCATGGACCAGACCACGCCAGGCACTCCTGTCTTCCACTGCCTCCCACAGTTTGGTCAAACTCATGCTGGTAGCTTCGAGAACACTATCCAACCATCTTGTCCTCTGTTGTCCCCTTCTCCTTGTGCCCTCCATCTTTCCCAACATCAGGGTCTTTTCCAGGGAGTCTTCTCTTCTCATGAGGTGGCCAAAGTATTGGAGCCTCAGCTTCACGATCTGTCCTTCCAGTGAGCACTCAGGACTGATTTCCTTCTGAATGGATAGGTTTGTTCTTCTTGCAGTCCATGGGACTCTCAAGAGTCTCCTCCAGCACCATAATTCAAAAGCATCAATTCTTCAGTGATCAAGCCTTATTGCTGGTGAAAGAGCAGTGGTGTGAGTGCATACAAGACTGTGGTGCCCACTAGTTTTTCCAGGTTGCAAATGTATCCATGGGCTCCTAGCAGCTCTATGGGCCCCTAGCAGCAGAGTATCAATATGGATAACTTGGACCTTACCTTTTAATTTTAATTTAGTAGGTCCTACTGAGGGTGGCAATTAGCTGTGCCTATATGGATCACACACCTATGCTAGGAGGCTCCTTGTTGCTCTGTCTTTGTACAGGGCAGATCAGGCCAGCTGGGAACTTTAGATTCACAAACTCCCTCTTCAACCTCACAAACAGATGTCCACTGCCTTTGAAGCAGATCACAAATTACCAGTTCACATCAAACAGCAAACCATGGATAGAAGGAAGAGAATTACTGCATGCAATGGAAGAAGGAGGGGGAGTAGGAGAGCCTGAATGTTCTGAATTGCTTATTCATGCAACTTCAAACCACTGTTTGGTGTTATATCTTAACTGCTTCTGTATCTGTTTTAATAAAGATTGCATAATGGAAGGCTTGGGTCAGGAATCTTTAGTCCTAAGAAAGCCAATTGGTATCCCTATATACTATCATCACCTACAATTCTGAAAGGGTCCACTTCTGGCCCTAATACTTACACACTGATACTAAGCATGTTTACTTGGAAGTAAGTGCCAACAAATTCAACAGAACTGTAGCTTTATAGCCTTTGTATGCATATAGTGTTCTTAATTGCTTTGCACACATTATGTCAGTAACCTGTACCCAAAGCCCCAACCCCTGTAAGGCAGGCCAGTATTTTCATTTTCATTTTGCCAAGTAACCTTGGGCAAACTACTCAGGGAAACCACAGCTGACCTGAGATTTCAACTGAACTTCCTGACTCATCTTGCCACACTAAGTCAGTTCTCTTTTACAAGGAATGTGGTCGCTTTCAAAAGGATAGGGGACAATATGCCATTTCAAGAAAATCTGAGTAAAAACGCTCAGCTTGCTTGTGAGACCTGTACATTATTCCCTTATATGTTCTCTTTTCCTACAGGAAAAGAGTACTGATTTGTGTGCAATGTGTTACAGATATGCAAACAGTATAACAGGAACATAAAGCAGCAATGAGAAATAAAACTAGAACAAAAAGAAGCATATGGTGACAGAGAGACTTAGGTACAGAGACCACACAAGCACTTCTTTTTACTGCATGTAAAAAAAAATGAGGTAAAAGTGGGTGAACTAATGAAATGAAACATAATGACATAATGACTGCCGTCTTTGGATCTACTGGATAAGTATTTTAATTTCACAAAATATGATTAACAGCTTTGGGAAAGTTTTATAAAATCTGAAGCTGATGAATTGCATCTCTTTTGAAATATATGGCTACATGTCAAATATTTCTGTTCTCAGATGCCACAAAAGTAGTACTAATAAAAACAAAAGTAGTACTAATTTTTAGAAACAATCCCAATCCACATTGTAGATGTTATGGGCATCCATTAAATACCAGGTCCATTACTACAACAACTATTACCATTAAACAACAATTTAATAGTTTTATCTTCTCAATTTAATAGCACTTTCTCATGGCATTTTCTTTCCAATTATCTTCACATGCAACTCAGGTTCTATCAAGGGCATTTCACATATGGACCCACTTACAAACATATCATAAACTGTATTGATACATGTATGTGTGGGTGGGAATCTATGATTTTCTATATTAGCATATAAAACAAAAACTGGATAATGACACCAGTAATATATACACAAGATCATAGTCTTGTTTTTAGAAGGAGATACACGCCAGATGAAGGAAAGCATCAATGTAACTTACCTGCTTAGGGTCAATGGGAGGGGCAGGAGACTCAAGTTCTATAGTCACAGGTCCATCGTTCTGAATATGTACCTGCATATATTCACCAAATTTGCCATCTGAAAAATTAAATTAGAGTTGAGTGGGAAGAAGAGGACATTTACCTAAGAACCACCTTTGGTTTTAATAGTGGCAGTCACTGCACAGTGCACCTGCTTCCAATGCTTCTTTGCTATATATTTAGCCCCATTATAAGGTGTGGCAAAAGACAGGGGTTCTGCCAGGTGGCCTTGATAATGGAGTCAACGGGAGGACAGGTCTGCCTTGACCCAGGCATGGAGCCGGCACCTGGACATAGACTTTGGCTCACTGCTGAGAACACAGAAGGGAGGCACACTGATGGCTAGAGACTGGCATTTCGCTGCCTGGGACTGTATAAAAAAACAGACTTCAAAGGAAAGGGTTATTTACCATCTGGATGTGTTGTGGGCATGGAAGCCCAGGGAGCCACCTACCAGCCTAAAGAATCAGAGTGATCTCCTGCGGTTGGAAGAGTGTGCCAAAGGACCTGTTTTGTAACTATCTTTTCTATATCCTTTTAGCCTAAGATTATAGCAGTTGGGCTGGGTGAAATATTGATATATATATAATAATAATTTATTATTTATACCCCACCGATCTGGCTGGGTTTCCCCAGCCACCCTGGGCGGCTATATATAATCCAAAATCAATATTAAATCCACATCATGATAACAGTTTCAAATAAATTGAGCAGGCAAGTCACAGCCTTCAAACTGCGAGGGACAATATCATTGCTGCCTGCCTGCCTGCCTTCCCTTTCAGTTTCTCCTCCAATAGCAGAACACTCCCTCCGCTAGCTTCTCTGTAACAGTGGTGTCTGCCTTCGCAATAACAGTTTCAAATACCCGCCTCCTTCCCTTTCAGTTTCCCCTCCTTCCCTTTTTTAAAAAAATCGTGTTCATTTAATTTTACAAATATAAATTTATAACAATACCAAATACATAGCCATATAAAGAGATTTCTCTGAATCTTGAGACTTCCACCGTCATTTTCAAGTGCATATTATTTCATAATCTATATTTTATATCTATCAATATTGTTCATAGTATTTGTTACATTACAAGTGAAATTAAATCCTGCTAATGTTTTCATCTGCTTACAGTGGTCTCCTAAATAAATTATAATTTCCCCCCCGTTCTTTCTTGAAGTTTTTGTCTTCTTGGTCCCTGAGCTTTCCGGTCAGTTTTGCCATTTCGGCATAGTCTAACAGCTTGGTTTGCCATTCCTCTCTGATAGGGACTCTTTCTTCTTTCCTTATCTGGGCTAGTAACATCCATGCTGCTGTTGTTGCATACATAAAAAGTCTGTTCCTTTGGGATGTCAGTACCTACAATTCCGAATAAAAAGGCTTCTGTGTTTTTTTTTAACAAAAGTTATTTTAAACATTTTTTTTCAGTTCATTATATATAATTTCCCAGAAAGCCTTTATTGCCTTACATGACCACCACATATGATAAAAGGTACCTTCTTTTTCTTTACATTTTTTGTAGGTATGGGACGCTGTTTGAAAGAGCATTTTCCCCATCTGTAGGGGTGGCAAAGAATTACAGGGATATCCATCTTCTCGCCAATTTTTGCCTGAATACATCCATAGCCCTTGAAACCTTGTCTAATGTAACCATTGATAAAAGAGTAAAGTTGCAGGCTGAGGTTTCTTTCCAAGGAAATATTTTTTTCACTTAGCTTAAGATGCTATGCTGTTGGCCAAGTGACCACTAGGTGGCAGTACAGTTTTCCTTCAGCCAAACTTACAATATCGCTCCTTCAATTAAAAGTTTATGCATTGTATTTATATTTCTCATATACTACTACTTCCCCTTTCTTTTTGACTTTAAGAGCTACAAATCTTTTAACAGTAATAAAAAAGCTGAAGATGCTGGTGTCTTGGCAAAGATTTTAGTAAGTAAACTAAGAATATAATTCCTCCACAACTACCTGGTGATACGTTTTAAAGACTGGTTCTTAATCATAACAGAATCTGAAGTGAATAAGAAGAGTTCCATTTGATGCGTTAGTTTTCAGACTTGACAGTTTACAAGAACTTTTATTTTAACATGTTTATGTCTAAAAGCTTCAATTCACATATTCAGCAGATCATTATCTCCTTTATAACTACATTGCATTGAATACAAAGTAGGTCACAAGAAGCTGACATTTTAGAAATTGATTTAAACCCTACCAGGCACTGCTCCTTTCTAAAGGAAAAATGGCAAGTGATTATATCTTTGCACTGCCAATCAGGATTTTGAATCATAACATTTTTCTCTATCTACTGTTTTATTTCCTCCCATTCAAGCACAAATGCTTCCTATAAAACAGGACATTAAACAGAATGGCATGGTGGTAATATGCTACTTCTAAAGAAAGGTATAGAGCATTGTCAAGGGATGAAGTGCTGCCTTTTTATAAGGCAGAAGTCTCCAAAATGCACAAGAGATCTCTAGTGAGGGCCAAGCTACAAGTTTCATAGAATTGCAGAGTTGGAAATCACCATGAGGGCCATCTAGTCCAACCCCCTGTGATGCAGGAATCGTTTGCCCAACCTGAGGCTTGAACCCTAAACCCTGAAATGAAGAGTCTCATGCTTTACCGACTAAGCTATCCCCTTTTCCTAACTTTTGAGCAAGGTTTTCTTGTGACTTGAAACTTTCCCAGCCAACCAACTGCCATTCCAAATCTCCAACTGCTTCTTTTCTAATGAGGTGGGGAAGAGATACAGGGATTCTTTCAACATTTGCTTTCCCTCCAATATCTATAAGCAAATTAATTTGGAAGTTAGTTTTTCAGGAACAGGATTGAACATACAATCAAGTGCCAGAATTTTCTGAAGATATATAACCAGTTGTTAGTCCATGAAAAGAAAGCAAACAGTATGGGTTAGTGTTGATCTGATCTACCTCTGATCCACCTCACATTTTGTCATAGACAAGAGCGCAGAAGGGTTGGAGAAAATACTTCCAAAATTGCAAAGACTCTAGTACAAAGATACATACATAAATTTCCAGATAACTACACGAACTGATTAATTATGAAATGAAAGACAATACTGTACATGTAAATTCTTTTAATTAATTAATTAACCGCATGGATCACTTTTGTTTTTAGAATATCTAAGGCAATATTTTCGCTTTGCTGAGTGATATCCAACTGTTATGTCCCACTTATGCAACAGACTACTGCACACACAAACAGGAATGTCCTTTGCTCTTCTCCATCACAGCAGTCTCCCATGTGCTCCCAGAGGTTGGGGGAACCTCTGATGCAGACTGGGCATCACAGGACTGCTGGAGAGGGAGAGGAAAGTCCATCACAGCCACTGGTGCAAGACTGATCTTGTCCTGTGTTCCCGTGGGCCTCTGTATAATCTGGGGGCACCATTCTAAACAACACAAAAGCTTCCCTCCATTACCATTTTAAGACCAAAACGACTAAGGTAACACTGAGCTTGGACCTGGAAACATCTTTTTCTCAATTTTAATTTTTTAAGAGAGAGAGAGAGAGAGAGAGAGAGAGAACATGAAGCCTGAAAGTTTTGAGTAACCTAAAAGTTATTGCAAACATTGGTGGTCCTCATGAAGACAAGAAGAGGATCGAGGTGGGGGGAGGTCATAGCTAAAGCAAGGAATTGCCTCAGAAAGCGCATTCTCTGGAGCCAAGCTCATACACACACCCCAGTCCTTTACTCTGTGAGGGAGAGGAATTGGGTGCAGATGACATATGTGAAGCTGATGGAAATCAAGCAACAGTCTAGTTACTTTCCTTCAGCCTTACTGCTAGCCCTAGTCAGCTAAGAGTTCATGCCTATGTGTTGCTCTCAGACGCCAGGGTTCTAAGGCAATATTATGGCAGAGCACACACCAAGCTCTCAATTCTAGCAGGCTTTAGAGGGGCAGAAAGGAGAGGCAGGCTTGTCATTTCACAAGTTCAGTTTTTCCTGCACACTTTTCTGACCTCTCCCTCTTGCAATCTGCAGTGACTTGCTTCTGTCTTGTCTCTCCACTCATTTCCCCATCCAGCACATCTATATGCAGATACTCCACTTTATTAACAAAGCAATGTTATTCAAGTGTCCCTGTGAATTTTGTTTTAACAGTCCAAAAAGACTACTTGTTTTCATTTTTGTTCTGGAGCCATTGTACTTTTCCTGGTCCTTATCCACATATTTAAGGAAATAATTATCCCATTAACTGATAGGAAAAGGCAAAATAAAAGTAGCAACTACCAAAAGGCAAACATGTTTTATTGTATATTTAGGTTCTTCACATATTCACCTCGGAGTAAGACTCATTGAACCCCTTGGGACTCACTTCTGAATAGACATGTATAGGATTGTGCTGTAGGAAGCTTTTCCCATTTATCCAACTCTTTAATTTGGCCTTACCTTTAATGAGCTCTGGCTTGTATGATTTGCGAAGGTGTTCTAGGAAACTGTTGTAGAAAGACTCTGCTTGATCTGTAGGCATTGCCATATGATAGTCTGGCTTGTTTCCTTTCAGGATACACTGAAGAGTAAACTGGCTGACACAGAGCACTTCGTACTGCTTGTCCATTACACTTTTAGACCAGTGTTTGCCACTTTCATCTTCAAACACACGCAGGTTTAAAATCTTTCTAACCCTAAGTTGAAAACCAAAAGACAAGAAAGGTCCCTGTCTCAAAATAAGATCATTCTTACAATTCCACATAAATATGAAGCAGGGCTGGGGAACCACAGCCTTAAAATATGGAATAAAGAAAAGATTCATAGACCTTGAACATTCCATATTTTGTCAACATATCTAGAAAATTAAAGGTTTATCTGGATCCATTTCAACCTGAGTTCAGGCCTGGTTTCAGAAATGAAATCGGCCTTGGTCGCCTGATGGGTGACTTTTATCAAGAGAGTGATGTGGGGGGAGTGTGACCCTGCTACTCTTACTGCCTAACAGCATTTTGTACCATTGACCATGGCATCGTCCTAGACCAACTGTGTAGAATGGGTTTTGGAATCACTGTATTACAGTGGCTTTGTTTCTACCTGCATGGTTGGGTCCAGAGAGTAGCATTCAAGGACTGCTCTTCATCCCCCAGCACTTCTACTATGGAGTTTCACAGACATTCTTTTGTTCCCAGTAATATTTAACCCCTACTTGAGCCATTCTGAGTAGGCTGGAGCATGATGTAATAAATATGTCAATGACACGCAGTTCTATTTCTCCTTACCAGCTGAACTTGGAACGGCTGTGAAAATCATGGACTAGATGCCTTAATGCAGGGACTAGCCACAACTGCCTGTTCTGGATGGGGTTGCATTCCTGCTGAAGGAGCAGATATATAGCAAGAGGGTATTCCTGTGTAATTAGAAACCCAAGTGATCTGTGTGACCAGTAGTATCTTTTACCAGCTTCATCCAGTTTGCCAGCTAGTCATATTGGGATAGCCTGGCCACTGTAGTCCATGCATTAGTAAACTGAAGACTAGATTACGGCAATGTGCTCTATGTGGGGTTGCCTTTGGGCCTGGTCCGGAAGCTCCAGGTAATGTAAAATGCAGCAGCTAGATTGATGAGAAACAAATAGCTGACAGCATGCACCTCTCCTAAAACATCTGCACTGACTGCACACACGTTACCAGGCCAAATTCAAAGTCCTTGTATTAATATACAAAGCTCTGAACAACTTGGGTCCAGGATACCCTAAGGAAGTCTTTCTGAACCTTGGTTCCCCAGATGCTGTCAGACTACAACTCCCATCATCCCTAGCTAGCAGGATTAGTGACCAGGGATGATGGGAGTTGTAGTCCAACAATAGCTAGGGATACAAAGTTGAGAAAGGCTGTCCTAAGGACTGCCTGAGCCCTTATATCCTAGCTCAGTAACTAACATCATCAGGAAGCATACTGCTAGTTAATTCAGAAGCCTGACTAGAAGCCAGACTGGATATTTCATATGAGTGAACAAACAAACAAAATTAGCATTTGTATGCAAAATTGTCAAAAATTAAGTAAAATTTATATAAGCACAATACAAAGAAAAAGTTTTATACTTTAGATTGACTTACATGTGCTCAAGCTCTTTCTGAGTGTCTTCCACTGAGATACCCAGCAGGACACAAATGCCTTGTCCAATGGAGCTTATTTGCTCCCCACCAACTGTAGGGGAATTTTTAAAAATAGGTTAAACTTGTCACATGCAATTATATATCCTAGCAAACTATAGGGAGTTTTAAAAGTTTCTGATTCTAAGAAACCAACTTACTGCCAGTGGTTTGTTGCCCCTTAAATACTAGTGAAAGACCCATCTAGTCCAGGATCCTGCTCTCAGTGACCAACGAAATGCTTATAGGAGTCGTGCCAGCCAAACCTGAGCACATCAGCGTTCTTCCCAGTTTTGATGCCCAGCAACTGCTATTCAGAGCCATACTGCGTCCGACAGTGTAAGAAGAAAACAGTCATTGGGTTCCTCCCCAAGACCCAAAGAACAGGCATACATACTCTATTGGAAACACTTTTTTTTACTTTGCCAAATGGCTATGTGATCTGACCCAAGATTGTATGTAATAGATGCTTTATTTATATCAGCATAGCCCTATGGTTTTAGATGGTATATTGAACAGATATTAATTCTTGTTTTATGTGTTTGGCTTTACAGCAATATGTATATACACTGATGAAGGATGTATTTGGAAATGGGTGCTTTATGCTACGTACTCTGTTTTTGCTTATTAGCATTTTATGCTGAATATATAATTCACATATATAATTCAATTTATGAATCAGCCTTTTTGTGCACATTCTTGTGGGGTTTTTTGCTTCATTCATTATAGAAGCAGAGTACTCTTACAGCTAAACAAAGGGAGACATTTTATTAATAAAGTTCTCACAGTGCTTAGAATGGCAAGAAAAAATACATCTATCAAAATTCACCTTCTGAATGAGGTATTTTATGTACAGGATTCATACTTAATCAATCTGGCAACAATACATAGTGCATATTTGTTTATTCTCTTACATTTATACCCTGCCTAACCTAACAGGCTCATAGCAATGCTGTGGGTGAGCCCCACTGTACAACAAATTAATCAATTTCATGATTATAACTCTTGAATTCGTAAGAGGCCTTAGAGACTTTTTGGTGTTGGCATGCTATGTTTTATTTAATTTAAATTTGTCTATAGGCCTAACAGTATGTAGTATGCAGTAAAACATAGCATAAAAACATAATATTAACAAAACTACAACTTGTGAGGTCAGTACAGGTATGGGCAAAAAGATAACAGGATCATAGAGCTGGAAGGGATTTTTTTTAGTTTGATGCATTTAGTTGTCAACATGCTCAAATGTGTTGTGAGGGCTTGTCCTAAAAGGTGGGGTACACCAGTACCCCCAGGGTGGGAGCTGGGCCAAGAACCCATGGGATCCTAAGCCAGCCCAGCTCCTCGGCAAAATCTGGCCATTCTGCTGCAGGGACCTGTAGCTCACACAGCAAAAAAAGTTGGCAGCTTTATTGCCTTTCTCCCAGCTTCGACCATGGCTACTGCGAGCAGGAGTGCTTTGCAAGTGGCAGCAGCTCCACCACTCAGTTCAGGCCCACCAAGCCCAAGCTGGGATTTAAAGATTGCTTCCTTAAACGTTATGGCACCTTGGGATGCTCTGCTTAGATGATATGGATGCAACCCTGTGCTTATCAGGTCTCTAACTGCTATCCAGCAGCTTGCCCTATTCACACAAGGGGGAAAACAGGGGGGAAATTGGGAGCAGGTGGGTTGTTATTGGTCAGATTTTGTCTTTTTTTATATATTGTAATTTTATGTTGTAAACCACTCTGAGATCTACGGATGAAGGGTGATATACAAATGCAATTAACTAACTAACTAACTAACTAACTAACTCTTCCATGCCAGCTCCCTGTTGCCAAAACAATGCAGACACAACCACAGGGATTAAAAGGCACGTCATGTCCTCAAGGAACTTCCTACACTATTAGGAACACAGATGGGAAGCTGCCTTATACGGAGGTCAGTGGGGAATGAAATGTAGAGAGCACAGTAGCCCTTTAAGACTACAGTGGGAAGTGATCATTGCAACAGCTAAACTAAACATTTTAACATCTGTGGCAGAATAGGAAACTGTTGTCTCTACTAAGGCCCAAATGAACCAAATTAAACTGCTTATTAACATGGAAAGCTACATGATGCTGAGTCAGATCATTTAGCTTAGTATTGCGTACCTCAACCTTGGTTGGGGGGGGGGGTTCCCAGCTGTTGTGGTACTACAACTCCCATCATCCCTGACCACCGGCCCTGCTAGCTAGGGATGATGGGAGTTGTAGTTCAACAGCATCGGGTGGGGGATCCCTTGAGAAAGGCTTGTCTCCCCTGAGTGCCGGCAGCCCTGGAGGCTTTCAGGCAGGGACTCTGCCCCGCCCTGCCTGAGAGGCCCCTGGAGACGGAGCCCAGGCTCCCCCCCCCCCCGCCGGCGAATCCTCTTGGCCAGCCCAGGCGCGCTTCCCAGGAGCCCGAGGGCCGGCTCTGCTCGCGCGGAGACCCGGAGGGGAGCGGGGACGCGGGGCACCTGTCACGCTGGCCCGGGCGACGCGCTGGATGATGGCCTTCATGGCTCCGGGCCCTCAGGAGAGTCGGCCGGCACCCCGGCCGGCGGAGCAGGAAGTGGCGTCAGGCCACTTCCGGGAGAGGCAGGAAGCGCTCTTCGCAGAGCCGCGGCGGACTTGGTGCTACGAGCGACGGCAAAGCGCAGAGGGAGGCAGCCTCGCCAACTTCCGGGTCGCCTGGGACGGGAGGAGCGGACCAAAGGAGACCAGGGAGGCGTCGCCAGGATTCGCCCCTCCGGACCGGCCTTCCGCCGGCTGAAGAAGAGCCTTTGGATCAGGGACTGCAGGTGGAGATTCCTGCATTGTGTGGGTTGGACTAGATGATCCTTGGGTCCCCTTACAACTCTGTAATTGTATGACATGTTTATGTGTATGTATGAAATATAGGAATATATGAAATATTCTTTCAATACAGTATTTACTTGCATTTGTTCTCTCGTTTTCCTTATTTTTATTTGTAAACTGCACTGAGTCCCCATCAGGGGAAAAATAACAAATAAATAATCCTAGCAGTCTGTAACCCGACCCCGAAGGAAAAGGGAAAAAAGTGAGCAGCATGTTTTCCTGCTTTTTTAAACTCATATCTTATTTCATGGGGGGGGTATACAACATTTCAAAACTGAAACACTCAAAAAGTGTGGCAGGTCTGCGGGCGTGAGAATGGTGTCTGCAGGGGGCAGTTTCAGCAGATTGAGCTCTGCTACTGAGAATTTTTTTTGTATGGGGACAGGGTGGATGGAATGTTAGAAAAATGTTGGAATGAAATTACTTGGCTTTAGTAAAAATGTTTAAAGAATTATGTAAGAATATTATGGTTATGAGAAGTTGGTAAAAATAAGATTTAAGTTTTAAGTTTCAAGGTTTTTATAGTAAGATAAGATTAAAATAGTTTAAGGTAATGTAATGACAGAATTTTATGAAATATGGAAAGGATTTGGTGCAACAATTAACAACTAGGATACAAAAAAAAGGGAGGAGGAGGTCAAAGAAAGAAGGTAATGACAGTTGAGGATTTGAGAATAATGGATTTGTTTTTAAAAGTTTGTGGTGTATTTTTGTTTTTTTTTGAATTTGTTTTTTTTTTGTATTGTTGGATGTGGTTTGTGTTTTTCTTTGTTCTTTCTTTGTTCTTTTTCTACTTTGTTTTCTTTTGTAACTAAAAAAAAAAATTCCAATAAATAATTATCATTTACAAAAAAAAAAAATGACACCTGCTTCAGTCCAGCCTCTAATCTAATTTACATGAGGTTCATAATTGGTACTTTTTGCTCCTGCTGACACAGCAAAAACAACACGGGAGGCAGCAGTTAAGCTATCGGTCTCTGCAGCCACAGCTGGCACTGTGATTCTCACCTCACCCCTGGAGGCACACTCCATTGTCTCTCAGGACAGTCTTATGCCAGCAACTGGTTTGAGATGAATTTCCAGTTTTATTAACAGTAAATTATTTCTAAATATATAAAAATTAGCACATATAAACCTTGCTCATTTTGGTGATGCATGAGTAGCCACTTTAGCAGATAAACTCCAAACCAGCAACAAGGCCCCTGCTCTCCCTTTCTTACAGTTCCTTCTTTTGAACCAAGAATTCCCTCAAAACAAAAACAAAATTCCAATTGGAAATATGCCAAATTGAGATATCATCTGCTAGCGCTCCCGCTAGCAGAGATAATTAAGTAGTAATGAGAGGTGGTCAGGAGATAAGTCCCCTTTGAACTAAATGGGGTGTTGAAGGGCACAGCCTCAGATGTTCTGAAGAAGACAAGCATCATCATGGGGAGGGAGAAAAATCTCTGGGGAGGAGAGAACGTCTACAGCGAGGCAAATATACTGGCTCGAGCACCAACTGGAAAGAAACCGGATTTTCTAGTTGCCAATTACCGTATTTTTTGCACCATAACACTCACTTTTTTTCTCCCAGAAAGTAAGGGGAAATGTCTGTGTGTGTTATGGAGGGAATGCCTACAGATGGCGGGGGGGGATCTGCTGCAGTCATAATCAGAGGATCCATGGTTCCCCTTCCTTCCCTCCTCCGTGGCTCGCTTTGAAACAGCAAAGCGGGAGAAGAGCCGCTGAGTGGGGAGGAGAGAGGGACAGAGAGCCTGCTTCTTTAAAGGAGCAAAGCGGGAGGGGAGAGCAGCCGCTTACACGAGTGTAAGCGGCTCCTGTCCGGTTGGTTCCTTTAAAGCAAGCAGGCTCTCTGTCTCTCTCTCCTCCCCACTCAGCTAGCTAAATAGCAGCAAAGTTTTTCAGCTCGCTAAGCCGGGGAGGAGCGGGGAGGAGCGAGAAAAGCAGAGCCTGCTTGCTTTAAAGGAGCAAAGTGGGAGAGGAGAGGAGCCTTCTCCCCTTATACCCCTCTTCTTCATTATTAGTAGCATCCTTCTCCACCCACCCCACGCGTGTTCCTTCTCCCCTTAAACCCCTCGCCTGCATTATTAGCAGCATCCTTCTCCACACACCCCACGTGTGCTCCTTGTCCCTTGAGTGCTTTTCCTTCCCTCCCCACTTAAAACGTGGTTACAAAGCACGGATCCACATGGATCCTCAGGATTTTTGCACTGGGTCACCCCAAATTCACCATCAGATCACATAGCATGTCCATGGCTATAGCTTGCACCAAAAAAATCACGCACCCACTGTTGCCTAGGGCCGCAGTGGTGCAAAAACATGGTTACAAAGCATGGATCCACATGGATCCTCAGGATTTTTGCATTGGGCTACTCCAAACTCAGTCAGATCACATGTCTGTGGCCATAGCATGAACCACAAAAACCATACATCCACTGTTTTGTTTAGAATATTTTTTTTCTTGTTTTCCTCCTCTAAAAACTATGTGCATGTTATGGTCGGGTGCATGTTATAGAGCGAAAAATACGGTAAATAACACACAGAGGCAAAAAGGCTGCAGGTGGTTAAAAGAAGTATCAGATAACAGGCAGAGCCCTTTCAAGCTTAAATAATTTATTGCCTGGGAAGATTAAAATGGACTGGAATTGCATATAACTTATTTTTTACGTCTTTTGTAAATCTTTGTTTCCTTGTGCTGAGCTGATGAAAAACGAAAGTGGGAATTTCTTACAGTCTCACATGATGCAGGGAAGCGAAGACAGCCTTAAATCATGGCTACACAAAAAAAAATCCGTGATCTTTGAACTCATGCAAGACCTGTTTAAAATGCAGTTAATGGACTTAAAAGGAGATGGTTAAGGAGATTGGGCTACAGATAAGAATGGGAGATGCAGAACCTGCAGACGGTGAACAGGAAGTAGCTGAGGAAACAGATTTATGGCTGCTGGAAAGGTGGGAGCTGATGATGGAATCTGCAGCAAGAAGAGCACAAGACAGATCAAAGCATAGTTGTTTTTTACATTGAATGTGCTTTCAAAGCTGTGTCTAATGAGATTTGTGGAATAATGAATATACAAACAGAAAAAGTCTCCCATCTTCTAGAGACTAAAATGATCAAAAGATTGAAAAAAAGAAAAATGACAATGCTTTAATAAATTTTACAGCCAAACAAATATGGATTACTATGTTTCTGAGCTTCGTTGGAACCAATGAAGAGAAACTTGCCACAAGGAACTGGAAAAATATTATTTTGGACATTTGAAGGTAACAGTAGTTAATGAAGAGCAACATTGAGAAAAGAAGAATTTTGGATGCCTGAAACGAAAATTGGGGATTACAATCTTTTTTTAAAAAAAATTTAACAACTTCAACATAACAAATTATCAAAACAAATAATCTTCATTATTCCCCCCCCTCCCACCTCCCCAGCAAACCCTCCCTCCCCCCTAAGACTTCCCTCAGCTCCTCTCTGATTTCGAAACACGTTAACCTCTGCATATTGTAAAATTGTATACATCCTTATTTTATATCTGTCTACTATGTTAATCCTCAATAAATTTCTGTGTTTATTCAAAACCTGCCAAGGAGTCCCGTTCATTTTGTTGTCTTCTTAAATAATTTATAAAAGGCTCCCATTCTTCTTTAAAGTCACAGTTGTCCTTGTCTTGCAATTTGCACGTCAATTTCGCCATTTCTGCATAGTTCATCAATTTCTCTTGCGACTGTTCTTTTGTCGGGGTTTCCTCATTCTTCCATCCTTGTGCAATCAAGACTCTTGCCGCTGTTGTAGCATACATAATTTTTTTTCCCCTTGGCAGTTCTTGTCCTACAATCCCTAACAGAAATGCTTCTGTTTTTTTTAAATAAATGTCATTTTAAACATTTTCTTCAACTCATTGTATATCATTTCCCAATTTTTTAAAATTTCTCTGCAGTCCCTCCTCATATGGTAGAAGGTCCCTTCCTTTTCTTTACATTTCCAATGTATGTTTGACCCAGTTTTATACATTTTTGCTATCTGTACTGGTGTTATATACCATCTATACATCATTTTCATATAATTTTCTTTCAGAAGAGAACAATCTGTAAATTTTAAATCTGTTTTCCACAGTTTTTCCCAATCTTCAAATTGTATGTTATGTCCTATATCTTGTGCCCATTTGATCATGACCGATCTCACCTCCTCATCATTTGTTTCCCATTCTAGCAGAATACTATATGCACCCTTCAGCAACTTCACTTTCCCTTCTATTACTTCCTTTTGAAATCTAGAAGTGGTGTAACTAAATCCTTTCTTGTTATCTTCTTTATACATCTCATGTAATTGCCTATAATGTAACCAACTCTGAAAATGATCTTTTATTTCCTCATACTCTTTTGAAAATTTGGGATTAGCGGAATGGAAAAAAGCTGGATATTTCTAGAGTGCATATGTTAAATATTTTGAATAACTGATATACAAATAATTGGCAGATGGAAAAGTGGAAGCCTATTTTTTTCTTTTAATTTCCTCCCTCCCTCCCTCTCCTTTACTTTGTTTTACGATTGTTAATATTTGATAGCACTCTATTAACTTGGTTCTTATATGTTTTGATTTCTGAAGATTTATATTTGGGATAAATGAAGATATACATACAGAGAGGTGATGGATCGAAGAGAGGGACCTGTGTGAGAGACAGGCCAGAATGAATTTTCCTCAGGGTGTGAGGCTAAGGAAGGGGGAAGCGCTCCCTGCTGAGAGCTGGGAAAACTCACTTCTTTGTCTGTGGATTGAAGATTCAGCTATAATTATGATGGAGGACTATATACACATAATTCTGTGCTTTATTATGTGTCTTTTCTTGTTCTTCTCTCTCATCTCTTTGATTCTATTTGTTCTAGATAATATTTTATTGTATTGTGAAAACTAATAAAAATCTTTGTGGGGGGGGGAGAATTCCCTCAAAACAGAGCTCTGTCCTCTGCAAAACAGGATACCTGGCCACCCTAGCTGCTGCCCAGTCACATTCAGTTTGCCCTGGTTTCTATGAGCAGGCCATCCAGAAGGCTGGAGGGGGGGTGTCCCTCTTTAAAGACGGCTGGCACCTGTCCATGTGATGATGGGTTCACCACTCTCGGTCCAACTTCTCTTCTGTTAGCTTTCACCAGCCAGGAAAGGCAAAGTTCCAGGCAATGCGGTTGAATACATTTGTGCAAGTATCCTGTCCACATCATCAGGCTGCATTAACTAGAAACGGCCCCATAACACTGGACCATGCACTGCATTAGACACCTTGGCTGGATTTACTGTAATAGCAGCATCTTAAGTCACTATGAGGTCAAGCAATTGTCCTCAGAATGCCTTGCAAGCTGCTTGCAAATCATCAACATGTGCTCCTGGTGCCCATCATTTCCAGACCACTTGCAACAACTCTGCCTAGACAACTCCTTGGTGATGCATGCTATGATTCCTTCACTGCCTCCTTAGCTTAATTTGTATACAACCCTTCATACATGGATCTCAGGGCAGTTCACAGCATAAAAACATGATAAAACCAAAAATACGTAATAAAAACATCAACAAAACACACTAGTAACTCCCCTCCCCACGCTCCATTGAGGTGCTAAAGATGTGGGATATAGGGGTGATGAAAGCTTAGGAACACTTCTGTTCCTCTTTTATTGAGATTTTGCTATGTTATGTTGTTTTGATTGTTTTGTACATTTTCTTCTATTAACAGGTGTTTTGGGGGAGATTTGAGCTGAAAAGCAGCACAGTATATAAAAACCCCATAATAATAATGTTCCAATAGATATCAAATTTTAATAGGTCTCAAAAAACTCAAATTCAGTGAGGCAGTCTAGAAAACCCATTGATTTTTCAAAGCAACTGCTGATAACATATCTGTTATTTCAGACTGGGTTTCATGTGAGTTTAGAAAATATAAAACATACTGACATTTTATGTATCTTGAGAATTTTTGCTCAGAATCATTTATTTTTCTGATCTAGTAGTATCATCAAAATATGACTGTATGTAATTATGCAGGCGAGTTGACAGTGGCACAAAGTTTGGTTTATAAGTTGTCGTCACGTTGAAAGTAAAGCCTTTCTCTGCTGTTCTAAACATAACAACTTTCCTCCGTCCATCTTCTGAAACATATTTGGTCAATCCAGTTGCATTCTCTAAATGCAGAAAAAAGAAAAGAAAAGGCAAAAGTCCCACTTCATAAGAGTTCCTAAGAGAAAAAACTATTTGTTTTTTGCTATTTATCATTTTTTGAAGCATCGTGATGGATGAGACAATATATTTAAAAAATGAATGGATTATTTTACACATATTTAACTTACATAAGGACACTTCAAAGTGCATTGCCAAAGCACTAATGATTGCTGCCATCAAGTTCTGCACAAAAACCTTACTTTGAAATATAGGGAGTTATCACTAAGTTGGTCCCAAACAATAAACAATTCAAAAATAAATAATTCAAGCGCATTTAATTTGACACTCATTAGCTAGTGTGGCAATGTGCAGAAGTTCTGCACAACTTCAGAGCTTGCAGACTATTACCTTTAGGTGTACCCCGCCCCCTGCCCCAGTCAAACAGCTTGGGGAAGCCGCTTCTCCTGTTATAGAAGAAAGCATTAGCACATTTACAAGATCAATATTTGAAGAAAGCAAGGCTCATCCGTAAAGCACCTACGGGTCTCCAGATGTTGCTGGACTGCAACTACCGTCAAGGGCGCTAACTTGAATAAAATATTGGGGGCTCCGGGTAAGCCCTGCCCCACATAATTGGGACCTCAACTCTACAATCTTATTATTCTAAGACTGGAAAACGGGGCGGGGGGAATAAGGGCTTTTAGAAAGCGGGGGGGGGCGCTTCTTTTGGTGGGAAGAGGAAGGGGATAAAAGGAAAAGGGGCACTCTCCACATGCTCAGAGGCGCTCCAGGGCAAGCGGCCCCCGTCCCCCTACGAAGGCGAAGGATCCTACCGAGCACCCGCTCCTCCTCGGTCTTCTCCCGCTCCTGCTTCGCCTCCTTCTCCTTCGCCACGCGGGAATACGTGTAGATGTAGATGGAGCCCAGGATGGTCCACACGCCGAAGGTGTACACCATGGCGGGCCGGCTGCTCACGGCCTTCCAGGCCCGCCACACATTCATCCTGCGCGACCTCTTCGGCTTGGGGGGCAGGGGGGAGGACCAGGCCCGCGCTCCCCGCTACGCACTTCCGCTCCCACTTCCTGTCCTTTTCTTCGCCAGTCTGGCCTCCCTCGCTCGTTGGTCCCTCGGACTTGACTCCGCCCCTTCGCGTGCCGGGCGAAATGCTTCATTCCCATTGGCCGCGCCTGGAGCCAATCGCTCGCCTTTCCCTGCGACCCGGGCGCGGCCGAGATGATGGTCTGATGGTTCTTTGAGCGCCAGTGATCAGCATTTTTCCTTTATATCGCCCTTTATCCGAAAATTCCAAGGCGGTTCCCAGCATAAAATACAGAATGAAACCGCAAAGTACATAATAAAAGCACAAACCAACCAAACCAAACCAAAAAAGCATAAACAAACCAAACCAAGAAATTTGAAAGGACCCAGCGGCGCCTCTGAACGTTCGTTGTCTTTTAAATACAGTAAACCTATTGACGGGGTTGCGCGGGGGATTTTTTTGGTTGTAAGCCGTTTTGGGTTGCCTTGGGCAAGAGAAAAAGCGGCCAACGAATTTAATAGTAGTAATAAACTTCGGCGCGGAAGGTTTTAATGGCAGCTGCGGTTAAGCAGCACCGCGCCCGGCCCCAAATGGTAGAAGCAAAAACAAAAGAAAACCGGAGCCCCTTCTGATAAGGGTCTCGTTTCCTGGGGAGAATATAGTTGTCAGGGAATAAAAGTTCTAAAAGCATTTCTAAGAAAACTGATACAAATGTCCGCACCTAGAATAGATTAAAGGACCCTGTCACGGCTGCCACCACACCCATGTTGCATGGTAGGCTGCTGTGGTTGGAGGAGGCGCATGTTTTGTTTTGTTTTTAAAAAAACAAAAACCAAAACCCCTGCGTTTATGTAGCCTACTGTTTTTATTACAGGCAGTGGCAGTCCATCACATTTCAGCGCCAGATGTGAAATAGGAAGTATCTTTTCCCCACGCATCCACACACTGTTGTTTCCACCCCACTTAAGCCTCGCTCATGCAAAAACATCTGGGTTAGGGTGGGCCCTCACAGGGCTCTTGCAAGAACTTGCCAGCTGCTGCCACATCTTACTTCTCTGCTGCTGCTGCTGCAGGTGCTGTCCACCCACCCCGCTGCTGGAGAAGTGAGAAACAGCTGCAGAAGCAGCTTTGGGGTTCCAGCAAGATCTTGCGGGGCATTACAAGATCTCACTGGAAGCCACAGCTGTTGCTTCTTGCTTCTGTTGAGGTCAGGTGGGAGCAGGTGGGGCACCCATGGGGTGCTGCCCCTGGAACTTTGCCGCCCAAGGCAGCTGCCTCAGTCTGCCTCATGGACAGGCTGGCCGTATTACAAGTGTGCAATGGGGTCAAGACAGCTCAAACAAACTTACAGTGGAGGAAAGTGTTTTGCAGCAAACTGTGGAGTCAGTGTCAGAGGACTGTGAAAGCCGCTGAGGAGAGAGAGGACCAACAACAGTGCAATCTTAACCAGTCTATTCAGAAAAAAGTCAATGGGGTTTCTCTTAAGGCAGCAATCCTCACTCAAGTTGCTTCTTTGTGTAGCCAGTTTTGGGACTGAAATGCTAACAAGCAGCTGCCTCCCAATCAAGTAAATAAATAAAAATACTTAACAGACAATACTTATCAATTGTGTTGAAGATAACTCGGTCCTGCCCCCCTAAAATAAATCCTGGCTATGCTCGTGCCCACCCCCTTTTTTCTTCTTTCACTCCCAAGTAGGAAATCAGTTGGGTTACACAAGATTGTGCAGTTGGGTTGCGCAACAACAGCTTTCAAGGACAGATCTATTCTCCCCCACTCCCTTAAAATACATACACAGTGATGCAGTTTGAACTTTAGGGTTGTTGAGTAATCACAAATCACTCCCTCACATTGTCATATTCTGGCAGCAGTTCTAGGAGAACGTGGGGCAGGAGAAGGTTAGCGTCTACTGACACGTCTGTTGCCTGAGCAGCCCCTTTTTCCGCTGCATCCTGCACACCAGCCAGTGTGGTGTAGTGGTTAAGAGCGGTAGTCTCGTAATCTGGGGAACCGGGTTCGCGTCTCCGCTCCTCCACATGCAGCTGCTGGGTGATCTTGGGCCAGTCACACTTCTCTGAAGTCTCTCAGCCCCACTCACCTCACAGAGGGTTTGTTGTGGGGCAGGAAGGGAAAGGAGAATGTTAGCCGCTTTGAGACTCCTTCAGGTAGTGATAAAGCGGGATATCAAATCCAAACTCCTCCTCTTCTTCTTTTCAGAGTGCCCTGACTCTCCCTCCTCCCAAGCCCTGGCTCCTGCCTTGTGGGTGGCATGACAACCCATAAATTGCTGGTCCCCTCTCCTGGGTCACTCCCCTGGTCCCCTGCCTTTGCCACACACACTTCAGAGCCCTGCCAGTCCCTGACACCTGTCCTGAAAGTTCAGACTCAAGGAGAAATTATTTGGAATATCTGAACCTAATTCCTCCCAACATTCCCATTAAAGTTCAGACATGCCTTAAGTGTGAATGCTTGAACAATTATAAGAAAATTGATTAAATATGATACTGAACAAAACTAACATAAAAAACCTCACCACATAGGAGCTCAGGAATGACAATTTTGCACTCAGTAGTGACTCTTAACGAAGGGTGGGAACACAGAAGGAAAAGTATCATCAGTTCCATCCACTGAGTAATTTACTGCCTTATGCAGAAAGTCCAGTAGGAACCTGTCAGTTTTAGTGGGTGATAACTGTAGACAATTTGCTGCCCTTTAATAATATTTGAAAATCTTTTGACTGCGGAAGGTGCCTAACTGTAGGGCTAGCCTTGCTTGACCCTGTACCAGGTTTTTAAAGTTCCTACGTTTAGGGGAATCTTTTCAATATTGATTTGTCAGCCAATAGATTCTATGGAGGAATCCAAGGCCCATTCTAAACAATACAGTTTGTATGGGGTGCTAGTCAGCCAGACTTACAGGACCTAACACTCTCTAATTGTATATTTCAGGGGGAAACTGGTAGCTGTAGAGAAAATAGTTGTCAGTTGCTTTCCTTGCTGTTACTAAACTTTTCATCAAGGAAGCCCAGAATTCATTGAAGCATTGTCAGAACACCCCTCCCTCTCAAAAAGGGAAAGCAAGCAAGTGGTGCACACTTTCCATAGATCACTGAATTACAGATTGCTATTGGCTTTTCTAGTGGAGATATTGTAGATGGATGTGAAGCACCATTTTATTTTATTTTTAAATTTCTTTTTATTGAGTTTCACTTAAGTAACCAAAAGAAAAAAACAAAACAACAGTTTCAGAAAAAAGAAAAAAAATATATCCATACATAACACAAAAATAACATCAATTTCCGTTACAGTTCTTTGTCTTATTCCTTGAATCTTTATATCTTTAAATATTTAAATCTTTCCTCTACACACCTATTGACCTCCTTCCCTCCCGATTTCGGGCTTCTTGATAAGAATTATTTCCTTTTTCTGCAGCTAATAATTGTTAATGGTTTGCGCATCGTAAGGTTTATATCAAACCTGCTGTAGTTTTTAAGTTTCTATAGTTTCCTTCAATATATACCATAAATTTATTCCAATCGCTAATAAACTTTGTATTTTTTTGGTTTCTAATTTTTTGCGTCATTTTTGCTAGTTCAATATATTCAAATAGTTTTGTTTGCCAATCTCTGACCGTTGGGATATTTGGACTTTTCCAATTTTGTGCAATTAATATTCTAGCCGCTACTGTCGAATATTGGAATAGTGTCTTATCTTCTTTTTTGATTTCGTCCCCAATTATTCCTAATAAGAAGGCCTCTGGTCTTTTAGGGAAAGTGTATTTAAACATTTTTTTTAACCCGTTATAAATCAGAACCCAAAATTTCTTCATTTCTTCGCAAGTCTACCACATATGGTAGAAATTGCCTTCTTTAAGTTTACATTTCCAGCAGGCCTTATTTCCTGTTTTGTACATTTTTCCTAGTTTTGCTGGCGTGATGTACCACCTATACATCATCTTTTCCAAATTTTCTCTGAGTGTGACACATGCCGTGAATTTCATTCCACTACACCATAATTTCGACCACTTTTCATATTCTATATTGTATCCCAAGTCCATTGCCCATTTTGTCATGACCTCCTTTATTTCTTTGTCTTTAGTGTCTCATTCCAATAATATTTCATACATTTTGGATAATAACTTGGTTTTGCCTTCAATTATTTCTATCTGAAATTTGGATTTTTTCTCACTTATCCCTGCCTTTTTATCTTCCATCCATATTGCATTTATTTGATGATACTGCAGCCAGCCTGTTAGCTTATCTTTCAACTCCTCATATGTTCTCAGTTTCCAGCCGCTTTCTGATCTTATCAATAGGTCTTCATAAGTCAATCTTTCTCCTTCCATGTTTGCTTTTTTAGTTGTTAAGATGTCAATTGGTGATAACCACCAGGGTGTTTTCCATTCTAAAAGTTTTTTATTTTTCTCCCAAACTTCATATAGTGGCCCTCTAATAATATGGCTTGAAAACCCTTTGTGTACCTTTTCTTTATTTAGCCATGAGTAGGCATGCCAACTGAACCTGTTGTTGAAACCTTCCAGGTCCAACAGGTCCGTGTTTTCCAGATTGATCCACTCTTTGATCCAGCAAAGGCAAGAAGCCTCAAAGTATAATTTCAGATTTGGCACCGAGAAACCCCCTCTTACTTTTCGATCTGTAAGTAATTTGAATCTAATTCTCGGTCTTCTCCCTTGCCATATAAATTTCGAAAGTGTTTTCTGCCAATCCTTAAATATTGTGGAACCTCTAATCACTGGAATGTTTTGAAACAGAAATAACATTTTTGGGAGTATGTTCATTTTTATTGCCGCCATCCTTCCCGACCACGACAGTTTCACTCTGTTCCACGTATCTAGATCTTTCTTAATTTCCTTCCATGTTGTCAAATAATTATCCTGAATTAAATATATATTTTTTGTAGTTAGCCAAATTCCCAGATATTTTATTTTTTGGCCACCTTGATTCCATTCTGTATCTCTAATGTTTCTATTTCAACTTTTCCCAGATTTTTAGTCAACATTTTTGTCTTTAATTTATTCAATTTGAAACCGGATAGTTTGCCATATTCTTCTAATACTTCCAGAGCTTTACTAACACTTTTTTGCGGCTCTTCTAGAGATAACATCAAATCGTCTGCGTATGCTTTTAGTTTGTATTCTTTCGTTCCTACTTTGATCCCCTGGATCTCTGGTACTGCTCTTATTTTGGTCGTGATTACCTCTAATACCATAATGAATAAAAGCGGGGATAGAGGGCAACCCTGTCTTGTTCCTTTTTCAATTTTGAATGAATTTGTCAAATTGTTGTTTATAATCAATTTATCAGATTGATTCGAATAAATTGCTTTTATTCCTTCCATGAATTCACCCTCTAGCCCTGCTTTCTCCATGCTTTTTAGTAGGAACGGCCATGAAACATTGTCGAATGCCTTCTCCGCATCGATGAAGCACCATTTTAAAATAGGAGGTGCAGCTTCCATTCTGGTAACGAACAGGCAAGTGCATACTTGAATCACAAAACTACAATAGCAAAAATGCATATTCATCTTCCTGTTTGTGTTCTGTCCTGCATTACACATTTGACCCAAAATATAGCAAGAAAAGCTCAATGGCATTTTTTTTCTTCTATCCTGTGAAAACAGACCAATAGCAAAGTCAGATGCCGCCTGTAAATTTACTGCTATTTTTGGCACATAATACTCACATTCTTTATCTTCCTGTTCATAAAACTAAGCTTTCTTAGCTCCCCATGGAAAACTCTGTGCCTTATTATAGTTGATTCAGATATATCATGTAACTAAATACGCTGAACACACAAATAAAAATGACACCTTACAGAAAGAAATAAGCAATTTATCAGGGATTTAATAGATTTAGTATTATTACTGTGGTTCACAATAGAAAAAGGTTAAAAATATCAGGAGCTGTCACATTGTCTCAAGAAATACTAAGTTGACTCACACTGAAAGATCAAGAGAATAAGGCTGAACAGCTAAATGTTCATAATGAAACAACTCTTCCTCTTTTCTCCCTCACCAGCCAACAGCTAACATCATCAGCCTCTCAAGCCAGGGCTTCAGTAGCCCCTCAGCCCACTCCACCAGTTAGAAAAGGTAAAGACTACATCCACAACTATAGAATGGCACAGGTGAATTCCCTTTGATTCTGGGGGCACAGCTCAGGGATTGTACACATGAGTCAATGCCTGACATCCTTCGTGGCACGACCACAAGGCTTGAGGGCTGTTGCCAGTTCTAGTAGACAGTTTCAAACTAGATGGATTAATGATTTTTCAAGTCTAAAGCAGCTCCAGGTAGCCCTTCCTTCCCCTTTTAGCCTCCTAATTCACTGCATTGCCTACTTAATCGTAGGCAATACGCTTGTGGGTAAGATGTATTTTCAAAGGTAAAGTAAGAACAGGGGTTTTCCCCAGAAGCTATTGGCCCCTTATACAGTATCCAGAGTATGTGCCCAGATTTGAAATTTACAGCTACACTAAACAGCTCATAAAAGCAGAAAAAAATATTAATACCAATTTGGAAATGTTGAGTGTTTCTTAAGTAAAACTGTTTAGAACTTCTATTCAGTTCCTTTTAACATGCTCATGCCAAAGTTTAACTGCATTTATGCAATTAAGAAGTTAGCTAGTGACAGCGCCAAGCATCAATACCTTCCTCAGTTATTGTTATTACTATTTTTAAGTACAAGTAAAAAAAGGTGAGTTATAGGAGACAACAGGTGAGATAATTCATCATTTTGTAATAATGACATGAAGGAAAAGGTAGAAGTGGCAGAACACAAACAAAAGGAATACAAATAAGTTAACTCTAAAATAAAAAACTCCCTCACATCTTTGTTATGTAGAATCAATAAGAAAAATCAATTGAAGAGAGGGGTAGGAATGTTATCAGTTTCTTGGCAGGTTGAAATCAGTAGCATGATTCACTTAGTTCAATGATTTTTTGAGATTTCTTCAGCAGGTCAAAATTATGATGCACTTGAAACAGCCAGTTTCTTCAGATGATCCATGAATACCTGCAGACTAACATCATCTGTTAGGATTGGAGCACCAGATTCCTGGAAGAAGAAGATACATTTTAACACCAAAACCAAAGCTAATGTAACCAGTGGGGGCAAGGGTGGTGATAACTGGACAGATTAAGTGCAATTAACCATAGAATACAAAGCTATCTAATTTAGCTCTACTAATCTATGCTACAATTTTTATTCTAATTTCTCACAGGCCTTATACTTGACAGACTTAACTAAACTTTTCTGGAAGGTTAGCTATGTTTGCTGTTTTGCTACAACACAGACTAAATTTTGCAGCAACTTAAAGACTACATTAATTACGGCATAAGCTTTTGTCAACTAGAATCCACTGCAGATGTATTCAATGTAATTCTGTTGCAGGTATATACACACAGATGGTAAGCAGAATGGATGGTATAAATGCACCAGGATGGATAAAAATCAATGATTTTAAAAAAAAATGTAAATCTGATTTTTAAAATTTAAAAAAAATTAAAAATGATTTTTTAAAAAAATTAAATCGGATTTTTAAAAATAAAATGTTTTTGGAGGAAAAATCTTTCTAAAGATAGTTTTCTATTTAGGTTACATTATAGTCCAAAGGATGGGTTAAACCACAGAGCCTAGGACTTGCTGATCAGAAAGTCGGCGGTTTGAATCCCCGCGACGGGGTGAGCTTTAGTCCTAAGAAAGCCAATTGGTATCCCTATATACTATCATCATCTACAATTCTGAAAGGGTCCACTTCTGGCCTTAATACTTACACACTGATACTAAGCATGTTTACTTGGAAGTAAGTGCTAACAAATTCAACAGAACTAACTGTAGATCTACTCGACTCCAACCCCATTAGCCCCAATAGTATGTCCAATAGCCAATGATGATTTAAGCTGGAGTCAGTTATCATCTAGCGGACCACAGGTTCCTCATGACTGATGTACACTATATTTGATTCCCGCCCCCTCAAAACACTGCAGAATATCCTAGTTCCAATTTGTGTATTTTTATGTCACACTTCTTACAGCATATTGGCTGTCCCACAGCCACTGGAAGACTGGATGAAAGGGGATGAAAACCAAGCCTCCTGAATACCAAAAACAATGCCCACATCCCTACTCCCTAATTTTGATGTAGTAAATTAAACTGTGAATACATATACAGAATAAAAATATACACTTTAAACACAGGAGTAGGTATTTCATTACTTACTTGTCCCCATGCATAGAGATTATTATGAGTCTGCGAAGGATTCACTTTAGACAAGAGAAAGCGTGCCTATAAAAGCCAAAATCAGAAAGTTGGTTAGAGATAATACAAAATGAAATCTCAAGCTTATCACTATATCCTAAATGTCAACGTGAATTTGTCAAGTGATTGCATGTACAGTGGTACCTCTGGTTACGTGCTTAATTCATTCCAGAGGTCCGTTCTTGACCTGAAACTGTTCTTAACCTGAAGCACCACTTTAGCTAATGGGGCCTCCCGCTGCTGCCATGCCCCGCAATTTGTGTTCTCATCCTGAAGCAAAGTTCTTAACCCGAGGTACTATTTCTGGGTTAGCGGAGTCTGTAACCTGAAGCATATGTAACCTGAAGCATATGTAACCCAAGGTACCACTGTATACTACTCATCTCAGCTCAAGATAAATAAAAAACAAGGAACTTTCACAGAAGAGGAACTTGGAAGGAAGGAAGAATTCTGCCACTACAAAAAACTAGTCTGCTGATTTTAATAGTTCAAATGGTTACTGGCATATTTCAAGTAAATGATTAGAAAGAAGTAATACATATTTGTGGCAGGAGCCTCTATAGCCGCGCGTCACCTTTCCAGCCGGGAGAGCACTCGCGGGGATTGACTTTCATCATTTAAAATCGCTGAACCCCCCTTCGGTAGCAGGAGAAGAAGGGGGAGCTTTTTTGAGCTGTTTAAACCTGCAGAAGTGAATCTAAAGCAAAGTAATTTTCCACCGTCCTGATCCTGGAGCAGGGTGTCAGAATTGACGTTTGAAGCTCACTGACCAGAAATGAATGTCTTTGACAGATAGTTAAAAGAAGAGAAACATAGTGACTCCATTGCTCCCTTTCGCATCTTAAAAGAACAAATATGGACAATATATCTTAAAAAAGAAACTTTGTTGCTATTGTTTTTAAGAGAAAGAACAATCAGAAGTTTCCCCCCCTAGAGGGGAACTGTGAAATTGTAACTAATCCCTGGGAGCTTGCAGCTGTCACTGATTACAACCGTGGGAAAGGGTTTGTGACCTTGCAGGACAATATCTGCAGAAGCACTGTTGGGTGCTTTCTGCAAAATAAATGCCCTATTGGATCAGTTAAGCCAGAAGACGGATTTGATGACAAATGCGGCCAGAACCTTTGAACGGGTAGTGGGAAACTATATGGAGCCCACCCAGGAACTAAAACAGGAGCGTGCCATGACAGAACAGCTGAGAGATGAGGATTCTGCTGAATCTTGGGCACCAGAGACGGAAGGAGCTGCGGCCCAGCAGGAATATAAATTTTTGGACTTGACAAATGAACTTGGAAAAGACCAGACTTGGAAAGAAAAAAATTGGTTTGGTTTGGAAATGGGGGGGTGGATAGACCCCCCTATACAGGGAGATTTGGACTTTTCGAGTCTGGAAAGGGGCCGTCAGATGTCTGGAGCAGTGGGGGCTCTCAACTTTGAAGGGAATCTGGAACATGTTTTTAAATACTACATCGAGTCTAGTCTGGACTATGGAAAAGGGACTGTTTTGTTGAAAAGGGTCAAAAACATTACCAAGCTGGAGTTCCCACGAATAAAAGGAAAATATGAAGAAGAGTTGTGGAAGGGACATGGAAGAGACTTGAGGGCCTTGGATATAAGATTGCCAGGTTAATGTGCTAGATTAATAGGACAAAAAGGACTGACAAAACCCGGGACCAGGAGGAAGGGACGCTGGATAAAGATTGGATTGCTTAAGTTTCTATTTCTATCATTAGGACTGTTTTACAAAATTGATGAATGTTAGGAAAACGTTGAAATGAAATTATTTGGCTCTTATAAAAATGTCTAAAGAATTAGGTAAGAATGTTATGGTTAGGAGAAGTTGGTAAAAATTAAGATGAAAATAGATTAAGGTAATGTGAGGACAGAATATTATGAATTATGGAAAGGATTTGCTGTGATTATTACAAATCAGGATACAGGAAAAGGGAGGAGGAGGAGGGAGGTCAAGGAAAGAAGGTATTGAAAGTGGAGAATTGGAGAATGATGGTTTTACTTTTTCTTTTTCTTTCTTTTTGTCTTTTTTTTTTGGTGTAATTAAAAAAAAAAAATTCTCAATAAATATCATTAAAAAAAAAATACAGGATAGCTGTATAGCATCAGTGTTCTAAGGTTCCTGGAGGAATCTTAAAATAATCAACAGAACAGCCTGAGAGAATCAACAGATGAGCAAGAGGTACAAACTGTATCAAAACAAGTAACTCCCAGGAGTTGACATCTTAAGTACAGTACAGTATGACCAGTACAGTAACCTTTAGTGCAAGAAAGAGACATACATTTTATAGCGTGGCTGTGGTACACAATTATTAATATAGCTGAAGATAAAAAAAAATGCTTTCGGACTCTAAATAAAGACTAGGTATCGTGACCTGTTCAAAATCCACTTCTACATATACTTCTGTTAAGTTTCATCACACACCTTTGTAATGCTCTGCCTTACCTGACTGCTTCCATGCTCTGTGTTAATGTAACGTGGCATTGGGAATCTTGTCTGCAGAATTTCTTGAGCATCATCCAGTGGAGCTTGCAGTAAGTGCTTGAAGTTTTCATATTCAGGCATATCTTGATAGCCAGCTTTACGCCACTGGGCAATAGTCTGAAAGGAAAGAGAATGAGGGAATAATCAAAGTATTTCAACTTTTATTATTAGGTACTGACAGACAAGCCTGTTTTTGCTTCGTAATCTATGATTTGTGTTAGTGCAGAATCTTCATCTCACCTTGTTCAGACATAAAGGAGAAGCAAGATGTTTATAATGGGGCCCTGTGCAGTCCCAGGACCACATGATTCACATGGGAGCACGATCCAGAAGTGGCACGTCCCAGTTTTGCGATGGGACATGTTGGAGAGTATGGTGGCACCATTCACATAACAAAAACTACCACAAAGATATCAACATTTTCAAAAGTAGGGGGTCCGTGGCTTGGCTTTTGAAAAACAGGAGGTCCACTTCTGGTGCAGCCGCCATGGCGAACAGTGGATCCCACGATAGTGGATGCCAGCCGTGCAGTTAATTAAGGATAATCTGGGAGTAATTATCCTTGCAAGCCCCACACCAGGGCCGGGGGGGGGGAGCTTTCACTCGCGGATCATCCAATAACTGCCTCTTGCTCCGATGGATGCAGAGTGCATAGCACTGCACGTATTGGAAACTCCCCAATTCCATGAGTGGAGGTACTTCTGTTTATATTAATATGGATCTGAATTTGGACTTAAGAAACAGACGTGTTCTGGATGACGAAGAAAGATAACTTGCTAAATGAATCAGCCACTAAGTGCCAAGGTTTTGATCTGGAGAGGACTCTCATCGTAATTGGATTGCTATGTAAGTGAAGGGGAGCCTTTGTTCTCTTTTTACATTATATTTACATTATATTTGCTGGGCTATGATTCGACAAGGCTTCACTGAAGAAGACTAAATTAATTACTAATGGAATGAAATTATTAATGGATTATAACTATATATGGAATGCAAGAGGGATTCAACAAGAACTTATAATTTTCTTTACGGAGTACTTGAAAGAATAGACTGTGTGAAATACTGTGATGACTTGTGACTTTGCCTACTAAAGAGGGCTCTAATTCTGATTTATTATGGTTTTGGCAAGACACCAACTTGTTAGAAGGTTGGAAAGGTTCAAAGGAGACAAATGCTGGAAGTAAGCCAGGAGTCACGGCTGGACGCTGGATTGCTTTTTGTTTTGTAGAGGCAAAATGGAGAAACTGTGACGTAATAAGAAATAAGTCCTCGAAGGAGGGGCAATGTTGAAGAGGATTGATTACAACACAAAGGAAAAGAAGAATGTAAACAAATATTTCACACACAAAAATACAAGATATAAATTCCCTCTGCAACTTAATGGATATGGATTTGTTAAATACAAACAAAAGTCATCACACCAGTGGCTGCTAAAACAACGGATTAAGATCGGAATTGTGGCATTTGGACAAATTAAGAGAATTGGAGCAGGACCAAGGAATAACATCAGCTCCTGATAGCTGGAACACGGGAAGTCATCCAAAAACATTGAATTCAGGACTGATTAATTGGCTCTTTTGATTGTATTATGATTTGGTATGATTTGGTATTGTATTAATGTGGCCTCCATTGGACTGTTATTAATGAAAAAGTAATTAAAATTTTTAAAAAAAACACACGAAAAACAGGTGGTCCACAGTACTTGGCTAACCACTGCTATAGAAGATATTTCCTTTTCATAAAGGCCTGCTTTAACTGTGGTTTGGCATTATGCCTAAAGCCAAGAACATTGATTAAACCCACACCCCACTCACCAAATTATAAAGGCACAAGGCAAGAGCATCTGGGAAAACAAAGAAGAATATGGATCCCAGAATAATTATCCAATACAGTCGTACCTTGGAAATCAAATGGAATCCATTCCGGAAGTCCATTCAACTTCCAAAACATTCAGAAACCAAAGTGTGGCTTCTGATTGGCTGCAGGAAGATCCTGCAGCCAATCAGAAGCTGCAGAAGCCCCATTGGACGTTCGGCTTCCAAAAACAGTTCGCAAACCACAACAGTCACTTCCGGGTTTGCAGCATTCAGGAGCCAAAACGTTTGAGAACTAAGCCGTTCAAAAACCAAGGTACGACTGTACATAAAAGATAATAAAATAGACAATATATTTTCAGGAGCTTGTTAAACTTTTTAGCACCTCACAGGAAGCATTCAGTTTCAACAAAAGGTTATCAGCACATTACCTCACCAAGGTAGATAACGATCTGGAAAAAAGAATCCATCAGGAGAATCCTATCGGCAAGAATGCTGCTGCTATCCAAAAGTACAGGCTAGAAGCAGAAGAAAAGGAAAAAAATAATCACATTAATCTTATTACAAAAGTGAAGTAGAATATAGCTTTTGTAAAACCTCAACTTTAAAACAACAAAACTAAACAGAAAATAGGCAGATTCTCAAACAACTCATCTCCACCCAAAGAGGAAATCAAATACATATTTTTTAACATAGCATCTTTTACTTCTACCAAATATTAATAGCTACCATATTTTTCGCTCCATAAGACGCACCTGATCATAATACGCACCTGGTTTTTAGAGGGGGAATGCAAGAAAAAAATATTTTTTAAAGGGAGTGCTGAGCACAGCCTGTATGCATCCCAGGCTCTGCTCAGCGCTCCCTTTCACGAGCCGCATGGAGCGTGTGTGCGGCATTTGCAGGCTTCTCCCCGAGGAGGGAGAAGGGACTGCGCTTCTCCCTCCTTGGGGAAAAGTCCCCAAGAGCCACACACACGCTCCACACGGCTCTTTAAAGGGAGCGCTAAGCAGAGCCTCCCACCTGCATTCACTCCATGGCGCACGAACATTTTCCCTTACTTTTTAGGAGGGAAAAAGTGCGTCTTATGGAGCGAAAAATACGGTACCTCTCAATATTATGCTGGTATCTTCTACTCAAATCAAGATATATAACTTCAGCACACTTATCAACTGTTAGTAGATAGCAAAACCTCTGGACCCCACTATTAGTAAAGGTAAAGGGTAAAGGGACCCCTGACCGTTAGGTCCAGTCGTGACCGACTCTGGGGTTGCGGCGCTCATCTCGCTTTATTGCCCGAGGGAGCCGGCATACAGCTTCCGGGTCATGTGGCCAGCATGACTAAGCCGCTTCTGGCGAACCAGAGCAGCGCACGGAAACGCCGTTTACCTTCCCGCCAGAGCGGTACCTATTGATCTACTTGCACTTTGAGGTGCTTTCAAACTGCTAGGTTAGCAGGAGCAGGGACCGAGCAACGGGAGCTCACCCCATCGCGGGGATTCGAACCGCCGACCTACTGATTGGCAAGTCCTAGGCTCTGTGGTTTAACCCACAGCGCTACCCGCGTCCCGGACCCCACTATTTGAGGGGCGCAAATTCCTCACCCTGCCTTTTAGATACTGTAACACAGATTTCATTTCATTAGGGTTTTTTATTCTTCAGTAACTAAGAACAGAGAACAAATATTTTAGATCTTCTAACAATTTGGGATGCACATTTCCCCCAAAATATACACACAGTAAGATTCTAAAAACAAACATTTTGATATTTTGGGGTCTTTACTCCTAGCTTAACATGTGTCCCAAAATATACAGATATATCTACTACAACTTTGGTTTGAACAAAAGCAAATCACCTCAGGTGGTCCATAGAATGAATAAGAATAGAGTATAGGCTGGATCATGATGAGAGACTGAGTCAGATCCTGTCTGGCAAAGTTATGACGGTAATAGGAAGATTCATCTGGGCTGTTATTGAACACTTGAAGAAATGGAGATCGCCGCAAATGGAACATGAACTACACGGGACACAGAAAATGGTAGAGATTTTCAGTAGAATACCAATCAAAACTACTACCATAACATTTCCTCCTCTTTATTTGCATTCAACTCTCTGAATTAAGTCAGTGAATGTCACACAAACACAGAACGCATCATTGTTTTAAGAATTTGTTTAATCATCATAAGAGTCTTGGAACCCCACTGTTATCTCCTATCAATTGTTCTAATTTTTTTAAAGTTCCAAAAAATATCCTCTTACCTGGGGATACAAAGAGAATGAATCAGACAATCTGAAAGAATTTGGATCATCTTTGTTGTATTGGCCAAACTTCTGACACTGTTGGACATATAGTAATAAAACCTTAAATGTTTTAAACAGTATAATGTAACATAACATAACATAACATAACATAACATAACAAGAAAAGGAATAGATTACATCATATTACCGAGAAATTTGAAAAAACATGTTTATGCTTTTTCACATAATAGAATAAAATTTGTCACAGATGGATTTACTAAAGCAGTTTAGTTTAAAATTACTAATGGAGAAACTGATCCTTAGATAATCAAGTGTTTATATCACATCAACTGCATAACACCAGGAGTGGGAAACCTGTGGCCCTCCAGATGTTGCTGGATTATACCTCTCATCACCCCCAACCATTGACCAGGATGGCTGGGGCTGGTGATAGCTAGAATCCAATAACATCTGGAGGGCCACAGGTTCCCCATCCATGCTTTTCTGCTCACTCCTGGAAACTGTCACTCATTCTACAATAACAAAACACACAAGCTCAATTTAGACATCTGAGAACTTTACTTAGTGGCTTTGAACTACCATCTCAGCTAGCAAGGCAAGATATGAACAAGCATTTTGCCTGTACTCAGTGCCCCTTTGCTCTTCCCTTTGTGAGAGCCACAATTAAGTCAAGAAATCTCCAGTTAACCACACTTTCTTGTTTCCTCTGAATCAAAAAACTATAGTTCCTAGTTTTGGACAAGCCAGGATGTTAAACAATGGTTTGAAGCTTGTTAAGATCAGAAGTTGGGGGAACTTGGGTTAATTTAAATTATTATTAGTTCATATAAGCCAAGACCATACCATGGTTTAAAATCCTGGCTTGTTCATTGATCAAAGTTTACTTTACACGTACCGATTTATCACTGAGTTCAGATGTAATAGGAAATGCTGAATAGTTTAAAGGGGAAGGCCATTTATTTTGCTCTCTTTGTGGCCATGCCAGAGGAAAAGAGGTGAGGGGAGTATTCAAGCCTCTGAGTTGTGTAGGCTTGTTCTTGTAATGTTAAAATAGTGTTCAGAATTGTTTGAACTAGCCCAATGTTTTAGATTTAGCCAACGGATTTGGAATGGATTATTCAAATTTTGTTTCCTACCAGCTGGGCTTAAAAAAAACCCCACAGCCTGAAACATTTCCACCAGAATGCAGTCCAGTCAGCTTAAACAATCATTGAGTCCTAAGATTACACAGGCTTACAATTAATTATACTCACAAGTCTGATTAGCTGCCTATCCAGCCATCGTAGGACATCAGGCCCTTCCTCTGATTCAGCTCTATAGACACCGAGTCGAGCCATCAGGACAGCAGCTGCTTCTTGGTCAAATGCAGCTTCTATGTGCTGCAGCTGACTCTGTGCATCTGCCCAACTGATAACAGCAACAATTGGTACACTTAGATTTTTGAAGATTAAAGGACACACCGAACTCCCTCCCAAATTCCTGAAAAAGTATGCACACCCTGTATGAAGCAGCAACACAATCTAAACAATATAAACATGAAGCCAATACCCAGCCAAATATCACCAAGTTGTTCTCACTTTCTAGCAACTGTAGTCACACGAATGCGCCTCTGTGTGCTGGAATGCTGATAATGTGTAACAAACTGGACAGCCCCTCTGCCACCCTGAGGTATTGGTGCATTGTGCTGAAAACCAGACAAACAGAAGTTTCCTTTAGGATATTTTAAGGGCAGGTTGAAAACATCATGCAGTTACAAAATGAAAACAAAATAAAAGCAGTATGGCATACTCAAAATCAACAGTTTCTTGGAGCCACCAAAAAACAACAACACTGTTGTGCAGTGCCAAACTAATGAGAAATAGACTGCCAGTGTGATCTTATGGATGTTTATTCAGAAGTAAGACTCACTGAGCTCAATGAAACTCACTTCTAATAAGTGCTTAGGATTGCAGCTTAATCAAGTCTAATTAAGTACATTATGAGAAATAGTTAGAACAGGGTGGTGGCAACCCCCATGCAAAGAAAATAAGGATGCAGCTTGGAATCATACCTTCTTAAACTTGAAGCATTGCTCAAAAAAGAGCAGCTATAATTTCTGGATGAATAATTTGCTTGACTTGAGTAGCACAGTAAAAAATGTTTCATAATGTACATACAACGTTAAAGGCAAATAAACAAATATTTTACCTGGTTTACTACTTCAAAATAAATGGCAAGAGTTGTGGTGGGGTCAAGGCTACAAATCTTCCACTGGCATGTGCCACCAATCCCAAGTTCCTATAAGAGAATCCAAAATATTCAGATCTACTCTGTAACCCGAAACATCTGTTTACATTATGGCTACAAATATGAACCATAGCTCATCTTTGTTCTTGCAGATTCATATGCCACTTTAACCCCAATGAATTCAGTAGGGCTTGCTTATGAGTAGACATGCATTTGCTTGGACTGCTTACCGACACCCCCCCCCAATCATTCTCACATAGTACCAACTTCCGATGTCAGCATAAGACAGCCTGCTAAATCTTCTTCTCCCCACTTACAGAAGGCTCCCCCCAAAGCCCTCCGGCTGAGGGAGCCCCAATGCTTCTCTGGCTTGTGTGTTTGCTTCCTCGCAAGCAAGAGGGGTGGCCAATCTCTTTCCTCCCAGTGGATCATTCAGGAGGAAAGAGACCTGCTGCCCATCCCACTGGCTTGCGTGGAGCCAAACAAGCAGCCAGTCAGGCAGATGTGAGAGGCTCCCTCTGCCTGGCTGACTGCATGTTGCTGAGCAAGCCCCACAGCCCTCCTGTTGACACATGAGCCAGAGGGATGTGGCGCTTCTGTGCGCTTCTCAGTCAGTGGGCAAATCACCTTATCCGTGCCTTGCGGAGCTGGGCCGCCTGTGGCTGCTGATGAGCACTGGGCCCGGCAGCAGCATTAAGGAGACTCTGCACTGCCTTGCTGACTTCACTGGGAGGGAGGGCTCTGTCTTTCCTTCTGGGTGAACGGAGCCTGCCAGGCTCCCTCTGAGAGGCTGCCTCCACCTTGCACAGGTGGGCTACCTCTTTCTCCAGGGAGAAAGTGGTAGTCTGCCCGACTCCTGTGCCAAGGTGGTGGCAGATGAGGCAAGCACGCTAAACCGCTGCTGCCCTGGCAAGGTGTGTGTCTAAGAGAACACCCACCCTATCTCTGGCTTGCGACGGAGGTGAGTTGGGGGCACCTTTAAACTTCTCTGTTGAGGGGCGCACACCCACACCTCTCAACAGAGAAGTCTAAGGGAGTCCCAGCCCCATCTCCACCTTGCACAAGCCGGAGGCAAGGAGAAGGCTGTCCCTTAGAATGAGTGAGTGAGTGAGTGAGTGGATCATTATTTGTGTCAGCCATTGGCCATAGTAATATAACATCAATATGATATACAAAGAATAGAAATAAAAAGTCAATTATATAAAATACATTTTAGGGTTTTGAATCAATAGTCAAATAGTGGATCTTATTCCAATTTCCCCAGCTAAAAACCTTGAAAGCTGACAAATTGTGGCACTGCATTCAACAGTCTCCATTTCCTGCCTGACCTCCGAAAGCAGCAGTGCGAAACTGGGTAAGATCAGTCAGCGGCTCCCATCAAACAGGTAGGTGGACGTGATGTCAGGTGACCTGTTTTGCCTAGAGGGGCCTTCAGAAGCCCATTTCAAAGCACTAGCTTGCCCAGTACTTTGAAAAGAGCTTCTCAAGATCCAATAATCAACTGATTGTAAGTGCCTGAATGTCCTCCTTGGCTGAGACAGGCCATCTACCTGCTCCACACCTGACTTCATATAGGATGTCGGATGTAGGACTGGTGGGTATGGCTTGGCTGAAATGAACCTGTGGGTCAAATGGGAAGACCTGCAGGCCGGAGGCTCTCCATCCCTGTCCTAAAGAGTAAGATAAATTATACTGGGTAACAAATGTAGAGTATTGGCAACAAACACACAATGTAGTATTAAAACACCACATGAAGGAAAGTGCAAAAAAACCCTGATAAAGAAATCAGCCAACTCTTTTCAATGAACTTATGCAAAAAACCAGTCAACACACCTAATTTTATAAGGGAACTCCTCAGCTCTCAAATCTGAGGCAACATAAACATACTTTTCCCTTCTGGAAAAGAGGAACACCAACACACACACACACACACACACACACACACACACAGCGCGTTCCTGGAAAAAAAGCACATGCTCCTAGGACCCCCGTACCTACGGGACTGCCTCTCCCGGTATGTCCCACGGAGGAAAGCAAGGTCAATAAATAGCAACACCCGAGAGGTCCCGGGCCCTAAGGAAGTTAGATTAGCCTCAACCAGAGCCAGGGCCTTTTCAACACTGGCTCCGGCCTGGTGGAATGCTCTGTCTCATGAGATCAGGGCCCTGCAGGATGTGATTTCTTTCCGCAGGGCCTGTAAGACAGATTTGTTCCGCCTGGCCTTTGGCTTAGAATCAATTTGATTCCCTCCCCATCTTTCTTTTTTCCTTTCTCTTCCTGTGATGAGGCTGCATTTAATGTTTTAATGTTGTATTTTAATCTTGTTTTTTAAGTTGTATTTCAATCAACTTGTTTTTATTATTGGTTGTTAGCCGCCCTGAGCCCGGTCTTGGCTGGGGAGGGCAGGGTATAATTAATTTATATTTATTCTTATTCTTATTCTTATTATTCTCCTCCTCCCTGAAGCAAAAATCCAAGGTGTAATGTGGCAGGCTGCAGGTTTTTTTTGGGGGGGGGTCTCCCACCCCCAGAATTGGATGCCAAGAACCTGCTTAGCAGCTGAACATCCTATATCCTTTCAATGAAAGCCTTCTTCATATGGCACAAGATCAAACCACATGGCAGACCTGATTTCAACTCCGCTACTCATGGCAACAAAAAGGCGGACACCTCCCCAACTCTCTATATCATTTTCTGTTGCACCTATAAGATAACCACTCACTAGAAACTGAGCTACTAAACTCCACAAGACTATTTAAGCAATATTTTATGTACGATAGCATTTGTGTCATTGACATACCATCTAAATAACTTAAACAAACAGTAACCATACACACACTTACATTTTCCGAAACGCATGGCCCTTTTGCGTTTAGGGATACACATGGTCCAATTGCTCCACCAATCTTTAGCTCCCTAGAGGTCTAAAGTGAAAAGAAGGTTGAAGTAATCCTAAAGTAATAACAATTGTCCACTGGGTCCCTTGAAGTCCCCTTAGCAGCCACCCTAACCACAGCCTGATAAATCCTCCCCACAACACTCCTTTTCAAATTGTGAATTCTGCAAAGTACAGAATGAGAAAGTGGAATTTTGAGAAAAAAATTGAATAAAACAAGACAATGTCAAGATATGGAGAACCTCTCTGTTAAGTAGGGCCATTACCCACTATTATGTGAAAATGTTGTACACCACCCCACTGTGAATAAGGGATCTTGAGTGAAGTTGGCAACTATATTATCAATTCCTCCAAAGTTAGGAGAGTGTAGCAGTAATACCTAACCAACTGCCCTGCAACTTCAAAATACAGCTGGTGTCTGCCACACTCACCTTCACTTCTAAAGAGGCCCCAAAAGCCATTTGGAATGCTCCACTGGGATCTTTGTTAAACACTCTCTGGAAAGTCTGCTTGAAAAGAGAGGTGTTGAAGGAGTCACCCATCGCCATATGACCCCTGAGAAAAGAATGTGTTACAATGAAATACTGCTGCTGGGTTACAAAACATAAACCAACCATCCTTCTCAATCTCCTACTGAATTCAAACTCCTAAGTATATAGGTTTGTGGCCTTAGTTACAACTGAGTGTAATACTATAGTATGCAAAAGAAGAGGAACCCAGAAATTGGATTTATATACATGATAATGACTGAAGTAAATAACTGCAATTATTTCCGTTCTCCCACTCAAAAAACCCTAGACTGAAAACCTGTCCCTCCTAGTCATCTAAAGAAACTGTGGACCAATCCAGAAATTTATCCTTTCTCTATGATGTGAAAACAGAGAAAGGCACACCCTCCCGTTGAGGACTGAGAACATACCCAGTAAGATTTGCACAACATTTCATCTCCAGAAGTCCAGTCTGATCAAGAGCACAGGCATAAATATCAATGCAGTGTCCATTGGTAGCTGCGCGATTAGCCAATGTCTCATAGTGCTAAGAAAACATAACAAACATTTTGAAGATATATTTTATTACCAATATGATTAAATATTATAATCCTAGAGCAACATGGTGTCCTCCAGCTGTGTTGGACCACAACTCCCATCGGGAATTTGATGGAATATGTAGTCCAACAAAAAGTTGTCCAAATTCAACAGGTAAACAATAGCATAGGAAACTATGGGATTCAGAGTGCCAAACCCATTAAACCACGGGTGTCAAACTGATATGTAACAACTACTGAGTTCCAAAGCTTTACATGAATATGAGCATGCATATGTTAGTACATAGATTCATGGAGTTGGAAGGTACCCCTGCAATGCAGGAATCTAGTCCAACCCCTGCAATGCAGGAATATGCAGCTGTCCCTTATGGAGATCAAACCTGCAACACCACACTCTAACCAAGTCAGCTGCATGTGGCATAGCAAACCTGGAGGTCAGTTACCCCTAATTACTTTTGTCTGGCTACAACTGATTACCCGCAAGTACAAAAATTTGTGAAACAACCATTGAGGCAGAACTGAAAACTACAGTCTTAGCAAAAACAACTAGGGGGAAGAGAAAGCAGCAAAAATCATGCTCTAAAAAGGAGCAGCTGGTACAACAGACATATGAAAATTTTTCATCCAGGAACTTTATTAGAGATTTTAGCCACTTCAGCTTGCATTAAAAAACAATTTAGAAGATTATTCAAGAAGAAGCATGCACCTGACTGTTAGAACCCAAGGTGAACATTTCCATTCTGTTCAGAATGTTCATTCCATTCCATTCAGAAAAGCTCCTGAAACTACATATTTTGCTGCAAAGCCAGAATCCAGCAGAACCCTAACAGAGAGAGAGAGTTTAAAGCAGAGACCAACTCTTACCTTCATAGCTTTTTTCATAAACCTGGCATTGTCTTTCTCTATATCATGCCAGGAACGGATGGGAGTTTTCAGCTCATCTCCTACCACCATGCCTGGCCCTTGAGTTGGTGGACCTCCTGTAAACAACATTATTCTGGCCCCAGTATTCGGAAATGTTCCCTTGGAGATGGGAAGAGAAGAAAATACACATGAAATATCAGCAGGCAATGTAGTCCGCAAAGGCAGTACAGTATACATCAACCACACTGGGGATTTTAGTTATTTTATTAAGAAAAAAAGAAATCCATTGAGCCTGACATTTTCATTAGGAAGAATAAGGACTGCTCATGCTCTTTTATCACTTTTCCAGCCTTATATTAAAATGGTGGAGAAGGTATCGCATACAGAAAGGATGCACTTTCAACACATCATTGTCAGATAGCAATCGCAAGTTATTACTTTTCATATATCACTATAAGCAATTCTAAAATATCTCATTTCCAAAGCAGTATTGAAGGAACACCATACAGCATTTTTTTAAAATTTAGGCACGTTCAACAATGTAAGTTTCAGATACTGAATGCAGTACATAATTTTCACTTCCTTCCTCCACCAGCATAACAAAGATACCTCCAGTAATCCAACAGCAATCGACAAAGCTACTCCAGTGGATCGCAGGGGTCGCTTTCCCTGAGTTACTGGCCATGGGTCCCTTTGCAGTTGCCCTAGGAGATCTGTCAGGTTCATGTCAATTTTGTGAACGGGCTGCAAAAATCTACAGAAGTTCAGAATAAAAGTACACTGTGTTTTATTTTACAGAGAACAAACTTGATGTGTAAAGTTCTCAGGCTACTTGCATTCCTGTCTTACTACTCAAATATCAGTAAATACTAGCAGAAGCAAGCTGGGCACTACAGGATACAAACGGTGCATATCAACGCAGACAGAACATACAAGATCACTTTTAAACCCACACCTGCTCTAGCCTATGAAAGCTCATGCGTATCTGTTTGCTGGAGGACCCCAAGGGGGTCAGCATGAGAACACAACAGCATATAACAGCATATTAAATTCCACATAATTGGGGGGGGGGGAGAGACACACCCAACTGCACCACAATATATGAATCAGGTATCATTTTCAAATGAATCCATATGCCCTGAAAGTGTTAAATTATTGATCCTACTTTAATATAACATTTCATATGGTGATTTCCCATCTTTTCAAACTGAAGATGCAAATTGGATAAAATTGCTAAAAGCTATTTTGACCATAGCTTTGCCCATCATAGCTCAGTCAGTAGAGCATAAGACACTCAATCTCAGGGTTGGGGGTTTGAGCCCTACATTGGGCATTGCAGGGGACTGGACTAGATGACCCTCACTAGTACCTCCCAACTCTACAATTCTAAGATTCTGTAAATGCCACTTCTCTCCTAAATATATAAGAAAAGCAGCTGCTTCAAAATAGCCAAAAACAGACAAATTTGATCCATGCAAAGGAATCTATAGAGACAAGGATCTTTAGAAGTTTCATGCAAGCCAATCAACTACATCCTTTTAAATACAGTTTGCTTTGCAAAACTATATACCTGCTTGAAATAAGAGGTTGTTCCTGAGGCTGATGCGGTCTTCCTTGTTGAACAGGTGCTGCGGGCCTTGTAAGACCCAACATATCCTGACAATCAAAACACATATCAGAATTGGAGGAATCCAGAAGACTGCACTTTAAAATAATTTTTGAGGGGCAGACAAGGTTGGGTTAGGGTTTCTTTATATAAAAGTTAAAGCAAAGCATACCTGTATTTGTTTTGAAGTTAGATCCTTAGTGCCTCTGAAAACGTAACTTTTGGAAATGCCTTCGCAGCTCAGTTCATGAACCTGCACCATTCTGCCGAAGGTTATCAACCCTACAAGAGCATCAGGAGGCAGCAAACTCAGAGACATCTGTAGCGACTCCTTCAAGGCTTGCAAGTCCTCCTCTTCCAAACATGTGTCCACCACATAAAGAAAGATCAGGGGTGTCTGAGGACCACGCTTGTGTGGGAGGAAAAACATTTATTTACCACACTGAAGTATATACAATAGAATACTCTCTTTTTTCCTTACAGAAAACCATAGTCTAAACACTTTAAGATTACTGTCACAGAGATACTAAAGTAAACACAGTGGCGTTTCAAACACAGCATACAAAGGATTACCTGAACTATATATTCAATTGTGGAAAACTGTGGCATAAGCTCTGCTGGTTGATTCACTTCCGATATCCCTGCATATGCTGGAGGAAACTGGAGAAACACGCCAAAGATTAGGAAATACATCAAAATATGTCAAAGCTGACTTGTAATGCAACGTATATACAAGCAATTATATTTCAATAAAAAATGAGAATTTAATTACACATTCTACTAAAAAATGACAGCCCTATGGTCCGGTGCGCCCTATGGTGCGAAAAATACAGTAACTTACAAACTCAATTCAGACATCACACCAAATCATTAACACCGAACTTATGTATGGTTTAATAGGACATCTGACTGACATGATTTGGAATGTGTTTGCAAATTATGGTTTGTGCAAACTCCTGGTCTGGCATGATGTATGAATTGACTATCGGAGATCAACGCTTCTTGAGCCCAGTGTGCTGAGCAGCTGGAAAATGAAAGCAGTCAAGCACCTCTAAAACCTGGTTTTCCTATTGTAGGTTTAGAAGCTCAAGCTTCAGTTAAGGTTCTAAACTATGATTAGCACGAACCAGAATTTGGTGCTATGTCTGAACTGAGCCACTGCCATTTGACTAATAAAGGCAACACATAATGATGCACCTGGCTCATAAAGACAACCAAATGCATGGCAAATACTGATGACAGCTCAATAACAGAAACTAAAAGTTTTTATGCAGCATTTTTGTCAATGTCACTGGTCAAAGTTGTACATTCGCAGGACACATTAAAAAGGTGTACTGATCTGGGCAAATGGGAGAGGGACAATGCAATCACTTCAGCACCAATAAAGTTTTTTTTTTAAGTTAGTGAAGATGTAACCTATATTTCTGCACCCACCTGGTTCCGCTGAAAGCAGAAGTTACAAGCCCAAAGCTTGGCTCGGTAATCAACTTGACTGTAAAAAAGAAATAAAGCTGTTAAAATCCTTGTGATATATCAAACTTGCGCTTTAAGGGAATATATGTCAGGGTGCTCCATTTCTCTCTCAAATAATTGGTATTAGGTCTTTGATACATAGCCTCAAGGTAAAGGTACCCCTGCCCGTACGGGCCAGTCGTGTCCGACTCTAGGGTTGTGCGCCAATCTCACTTAAGAGGCCGAGGGCCAGCACTGTCCGGAGACACTTCCGGGTCACGTGGCCAGCGTGATGAAGCTGCTCCAGCGAGCCTGCACCAGCGCAGCACACGGAAACGCCGTTTACCTTCCCGCTATAAAGCGGTACCTATTTATCTACTTGCACTTTGACGTGCTTTCAAACTGCTAGGTGGGCAGGAGCTGGGACCGAAAGACGGGAGCTCACCCCGCCGCGGGGATTCGAACCGTCGACCACGCGATTGGCAAGCCCTAGGCGCTGAGGTTTTACCCACAGCGCCACCCGCGTCCCTTAAGGTAAACATATGACATAACAAAACTAATGATATTAAGAGAAAATTCCTACTACTGGCATTACCTCATAAAAGCCAACTTTAATTTCTTCATTTCAGTTGCTAGTAGCCAATAAGACTACTTTCAGTTAGTGCCAATTAGGCAAATGTACATTTTTTCAGCAAGTGGTTCCTCAACAAGGAGAGCTATTTTGACTGGCAAGTATCAAGGCATCTGTGTGTCCCTCCGTGGAGTGGGACACTTTTTCAGGCTTGCTGTTTGCCCTTTCATTTAACCTGTTAGCCTTTGGACAAGAGTAAGTACTGCCAGACCTGTTTCCTTACATTTGCTTTGTCTTAGAAAATAAATAGTATCCTTGTGACTTCAATACCATACATACAATCAGTCAGTGTTTAGGTTTTGTGTGTGTGACAGGATTGTGCTTCTGCTTCTCTTGCCTACCATGCATGGATTCTTTCCCAATCCTCTCTAGCTAGGTTCAGTGTAACTTGTGATCAGGGTTCTCAAATTACATTTAAAGAGAATACCCAGGTTTACTTCACACATAACACAAAAGCCAGACTTTTCGTGGGGAGGCAATTTGCAAACAAGAAGAAAAGGACAGAGAAAAAACACACTCAGTCCTATAATCCAATTATGAAACCACAGCTAACTGTGTGTCTGTATTAGGCTTATTAAATTTGTATAAAAAATACTGAGGTTCCAAGCTTACTTTTCAATCTGGAGCTCTAACTACAATACAATGGCCCAAATATCTACCTGGTGCAATTGTGTTGCCTAGGTTAGAGTGGCTGGTTTCTAAGTTTTGACACTTCTCATGCATACTGCAGGGCTTACTTGCTTGAATGATTAAGGTTTGCATCGGAAACAGAGGCACCAGCTCCTAGGCACAGAGTTGTCTTCGGCCCCCTCAATATTTGTTGGCAGGGGTCTGAGCCCCCAAATGTTGAGGAGCGGAAGAGGCCGAGCGTGGAGCAGAATCAGTGTCCACCACTCAGGAGGAGCCACCAGCCACTGAAGCCACAAGGCTCTGGGCTCCAGGCTCAACATCCTCCCGATGATGCACACGCGTTGTGTGTGTGATGTCACATGCACGCAATGTGCGCCACACCTGTGACTTCACAGGTGTGCAACGCTGAGCCCCCTCAATACTGGGAGCAATACGGTGTCTCTGACCCAAAATAATATTCTCCCTTCTCTTAATGTACTTTGGGTATGCCAACCCAGTTTTAACAGTAATGGATCATGATACAATCTTAATGTATCACACAGGCTTGCCGATAGGACATGGAAGAATCTGCTATACTGTATGTTTAAATTACAAAACTCCAATTTAGGGCTTTCTTTACTCTAAGAAAAATGTGCAGTCTTGAGCTTTGCAGAATAAGGTCACTAACAAAATATGGCTCCACTGAAACAACAGACATTAAAGAAAGTCATACCAAAGTGGATTAAGTACAGTTTTGCAAGTTGGTCTGCTGCATAATACTGGTTCATACTGGACAGGCGGCAGGTCTAATCTTTCTTTCAAAGGAGTCAGTAGACAGGCCAGTGGGACAACCATTCTTGTGGCCTCCAGTCGGCTGGAGGGCCATATGTTCCAGCTGAAACGCACCCCATCACGCTCTTCATTTTGCTGAATAAACTCCAGGTAAGTCGCCATAGAATAGCAATGTTTCTGCAAAGACAGACAACAAATTTGTTCACAACTATTTGGAGCCATAGATCCATAGTAGCAATTTGACAGGTGCTTAAGATTGCAATCTTAATCAGTCTCACCTGGAAATAGATCCCACTGAAATCAGCAAGGCTTACTTTTGACTAATACTTGGTATCAGCTAGTGTCCAAACCTCTCTGAACAAGGTATCATACATCTTTGTCTATGCCTGATTAACGCATGGCAAGACTCAAGTTTATCACCAGAGAAACTTCCTTTCCCATTCATACCACACATCCCTCTGGTCCAACACCCATTGCAGGTTGATCCTTCAATAAAGCTTACAAGCAGAGAACCAGGGCAAACAGTGCTCCCCACAGCTGCCTGTCCACAGTAGTTAAGATACACAGCATCTAAACACAGAAGGTCCATTTTGCCTCCCTGCCTGAGTAGCCACATCCTCCCTGAGGCATAGTTCTCGCCAAAGGAGGGTCAACCACAGGAACAGTGATGAAAGGACTCTCAAAGGAGGACCCCATTAGATGAAACATTGTTTTCACTTATATCACATATAAATGCAGGCAGAAAGGCCTCTTACTCCACCCAATGGACCAGGAACGGTCACAGGAACGGTCACAGGGAGGACATGTGGATCTCTGGCATGTCTGTGCTTGGCAACAAAGATGTGCTAATTCAAGCTGTACCATGGTCATTATTAACACCTCAGGCAGGGCTTCAGTTCTGTTTTCCTGTTCATGTTATTGAAAATAAAAACGTATTGCCCCCCCCCAAAGAAAATGAAGAAAGAAAGAGAAAGAGTCCCGTCTCTATCTGGGTTGTACTAGTAGGGCACACCATTTTAGGGGGGGAGTGAAACTTAATTTTGGCAAATTTCTTCACTGAGGGGTCTTTAAAATATGTTTTTCATAGAACTGTAGAATCTTAGAGTTGGAAGGGATACCAAGGGTCATCTAGTCCCACCCCCTGCCAATGCAGGAATCTCAGCTAAAGCATCCATGACAGATGGCTATCCAACCTCTGCTTAAAAACCTCCAAGGAAGGAGAGTCCACCACCTCTCGCGGGAGTCTGTTCCACTGCCAAACAGCTATTACTCTTATTCCCGAATGTTTAGTTGGAATCTCCTTTCTTGCAACTTGAAGCCATTGGTTCGTGTCCTACCCTCCAGAGCAGAAGAAAACAGGCTTGCTCCTTCCACCATGTTTCAGCCCTTAAAATATTCGAAGATGGCTATCATATCTCCTCTCAGTCTCCTCTTTTCCAGGCTAAACATACTCAACTCCTTCAACCATTCCTCATAAGGCTTACTTTCCAGACCCTGGATCATCTTGGTTGCCCTCCTCTGCACACATTCCAGCTTGTCCTGCTTAAATTGTGGTGCTCAGAATTGGACACAGTATTCCAGGTGTGGTCTGACCAAGGCAGAATAGAGGGGTTCTGTTACTTCCCTTGATCTGGACACTAGATTTCTCTTGATGCAGCCTAGAACAGTATTCACTTTTTTTGCTGCTGCATCACACTGTTGGCTCATGTTAAGCTTGTGGTCTACCAAGACCCCTAGATCCTTTTCACATGTACTGCTAGTAAACCAGATGTCCCCCAGCCTATATTTATGCATCTACCTAAGTGCAGAACCTTACATTTGTCCCTACTGAAATTCATTTTGTTAGCTTGTGCCCAGTTCTCCAATCTGATAGGGTCATGTTGAATTCTGATTCTGTCTTCTGCAGTATTAGCTATCCCTCCCAGTTTGGTGTCATCTGCAAATCTGATGAGCATCCCCTCAATTACTTCATCTAAATCATTTATAAAGACATTTGAACAACAATGGGCCTAGGACAGAACTTTTGGGTGTGATGAATTTGAATCTGCTGTTATTTTTGTGACTGGACAACATTTAACTTGGTAAGTCTATGTTTGATTAAAAAAACACAAAGTGCTCAGGGAAAACCACAGAAATTTAATATTACTTTCTGAAAATGTCAGGGAATGTGGAATATATAACTGAAAGTACTTCAGTGTCATTTTTAATTATTTTTATGCAATCTTACACACAGGGGGCTTTTTCAGTTGGAACTCACCAAAATTCAGTTCCGGCCCCTCTCAGGTGGGCGCCATTGCCTTTCTAAGAAAACACCGGAGGCATTCACAGTGAGTTCTGGCCTCTTTCCCCCCAGAAAATACTACTGCTTATACACATTTCGCTTAGCAAGCAAAACCAAATTATATTAATTTAACCAAAATAGCTTTTGAATTCCCAAGTTCCGCTACAACTTTCTGGCACCCCTCATTTTTAGATTTTGAAAGCTGAAATATTCCACATACCCTAAATGTACTAGTTCTTTTACCTTTCCTAGTTCAGAGAGCAGGTACAGTATGTGTTTTACAAGAGTAAATCATCTTTCTTCCACACGCAATCCCCTCTGCACGTAGAAAGCTAGCATGTGAAGGACAAAGCGGCAATGGCCTGCTAGTTTTCTAGGCGCGGGGAGAAGGGGCCACGGAGGGGCTGCCGCGTCGGAGAGGCGGACACGTAGGCCCCAAATGCCCGGCGCTGCCCGGTCCCTCCCCGCCCCGAGAGCCCGGGACCCCGCAGATAGGAGCGCCCGCCGCCCCGCCCCGCAGCCCCCGAAGGGCCAGGCTCACCCCGGCGGCCCCACCTGGCCGCGCCAGCCTCGCTTCTGTCCCTTCCGCCGCTTTCAGCCCGTTTGGCGGAACCGCTGAAAGGACACCTCAGCGGCAGGCTGCCCGCAACTAAGATGGCGGAGGCGGAGGCGGCGCACACCAGTGACGTCGTAAGAGCTCTGCTCGGCGCCCACTTGGAGAGCCACGTCTGAAGTCGCGAAAGTTTTTTTTAAAAACAAAAGCCCTACCTGTAAAAGACACGGGACTTAGGTGTACATGCGAACAGGCAGAGGGGTGTCTTTCTCCAGAAGCAAAGCAAAGCTGAGAGTTTGTTCTAAGGTCCTGCTGTTCGACTATTTCTTTCAGGATTCTCCCCCTTCCTATATCTATGGTCTCGATTCCTCGGTCTATAGTCTTAATTGCCGCTTAGCCATTGGCGGATGCGTCACCTACGGCGCTCGCGTCATCCTCGCCCGCGACTCCGCCCCTGGGCAACTGCCCGTTTTCAAAATGGCAGGCGAGCTTTCCGCTGGGCGAGCGGGGCCATAGACGCAGGAGGGGGGGGGGAAACAGAGTGACCATCCCTTCGACGTGGATGCCGCTTGTGACTACATTTCCCCGCCCCCTCCATGCTCCGCCTGCTCATAGTTGTGCATAGAAAGAGGGAAAAGTGAAAGCCGTGATTTGGGGCGGGGAACCGGCGGCAGATTCTCTCCCCCACCCCCACCCCCACCCCCGCAACCAAAATCGGATGAGGGACTCCGTGCTGAGATTCCTGCATTGCAGGGGTTGGACTACATGACCCTTGGCATCCCTTCCAACTCTAGTTTTCTATGATTCTATGAATTTGAGGACAATGAGCTACATTGGCTTTCGAATGTGCGTTAGCATGGTTGTTTTTTAAATGGTCACACTAAATAAGGACAGTTAGACGTAGCAGGAAATTTGTGTTTTGAGGAAGGTGCAGACTGTTGCCCAGTCACAACTCCATGGAAAGAAATTAATTTCTCCATTGATTCCTTCGGGCAGTTCTCACTTGCATCCCCGGGGACTTTTAGGACTTGTTTCTCAGCCACACAAGGTTCTTTCCCTTTATGTACCTATGCGCTCTCTGTCCCATTCCAGCCATTCCGTTTCACCCACTGCTCACCTTCCCCTTCCAGCCACATGATATCCCCTGCTGTTGAGTTGTTTTGGTGCTGTTTTGAGGTTTCTTGGTTCCCTCGGTTCCCCCCACCCCGCTGGCAGATTTGTTGCCATTTTCAAACCTCAGGGCTACCCTAAGTCTTCTGATACCACTCACTTGTGGCTGCCTTGTGCAGTTTGGCTACACAAGCACAAGTCCCGCGAAGTCTCAAATCAAAATCCGATTATGAGGTTTCCCATGTTACAAGTGGGATAGGTGAGTGGAGAGGGTGTGGATCACACAACCCCCCTCTACCCTGATCACATACCAGAGTCTGATAGTCCCTTACTACAGCGCTCCAATCATGACTGTAGTCCCTTACTACAGCGCTCCAAACAAAGCCCACCTTTTCAGTCTTTATTGGCAAAAACGTAACTTCACTGATCAAGATCACAGTACAAATACTTTAAGCCAACATATCCCAAAGGTTCAAAATAATAGGACGAGCAATTAACTACTTATGATTGGTTCAGCACTAGTGCAGCATTTTAGGGATACAGATCCTGGCAGCCCAGGTGATGGTACCCTTAGAAGAGCAATACTCATGGCCTGCATGAAACTGGCTTCAGACAAGAGGAAGAAATAAGCAACTGTCTTGCAATTTTTATTTTTTTATTTTTTTACATTCAAGAGATATATATCAGGAACAAACATGCCATGGGCAAAGAAGTATTTGACATGGCTCCTAGTTTGTCTCTACGTGAACAAATATGTCCTGCAACGGCACTGTAGCAACTGGGTGTTTTAAAACAGAAAACATGCAAGATAAACATGAGAGGAGGTTGAAATAAATAAAAAAAATGTCCAGTAGCACTAGAGACCAACTCTCTAAGGTGCTACTGGACATTTTATTTATTTATTTCGACTGTGTCAGACCAATATGGCTACCTACCTGAATGAGAGGAGGTTATTCACTGTAAATAGCAGCTCAGAAACATTGCTTCTTTCACAAAAGCTCATTTATCTAAGTCCCTCGTTTAACTTACCTCTCCAATTGGAAGCAATTGTATTCATCAAGCTTTTTAAAACCTCCCTCTCCTCTCCTAGTCCTTTGGGACCTTCCTGCTCATGAGGCCAGCTTCAAAAATAGATGGAATAAGTAGCACAGGGAAGGAGGAACTTCATAAGAACACCAGTACACATTTTTTTCTGTCAACCACTGATTGTCCAGATAATAAGGATTCCATTGCCACAGTCCCTCTAATGAGATCAATACCGTGATGAATAAGGCAACAGGACCAAACAGAGACCTCTGTCTCTTCTTCAGATCAAGCACCTGTTTAAAGGGAAGGAAATAAAGAATCTGAAATCATCAGTGCTTTTTTTCTTAAAAAATATTTAGGGGTACTCTCATTTTCCTACTCATATTGAAATAGTGTCCCTCAATGAGGCCAAACTTAGATTCACAAAATGTTCTGCCCCTCCCCCGAAAAAAAAGCCCTGGAAATCACTTTAAAGATCTGGGAAGCAAAAGGTTTTTTAAAGTGTGTTTATTATAAATTTAGAAGAAAATCATCATATATTGCTAGGCTGACGTTGCAGCTCTCTGCACTGCAATATCCTACATGACTGATTATTTATCTACAATCAAATTTAGGGCAGTGTGGGCATTTCCATTGCATAGTATGCTGAGCCAAGGGGGCACAAAATTGACAAGATCCATAAGGAGACAAGTTAAATCTACATGATTAGATTTACTGGAGTTAGAGGCTTCCAAGAAATTGGAGCTGTCAGACATAGACAACATGGTCCGTGGCAGGCTTGGGCATGGAAAAGGCCTGGAATGGATGTCAAGGGATGGCAATATGGCTTTGTAGTTCAAAATGTTACTTTGTAGTTCAAAATGTTATGTCATGCTACTCAAAAAGAGGGTCCGACCACCACATAATGAAATCATGACACCTTTATATCAGAGCTTTCCAAACTGTGTGTCGCGACACATTAGTGTGTTGGCTGCAGTGTGTAGGTGTGTCACCCGAATACTCCCCGCTCTCCTCCCAGGGCTGGAAAGGGGTTAATTTAACCTCTGATTTGCTAGTGCAGTAAAACTGAATTACTGTGTCGCGAAATGATGCATGTCTAAAAAGTGTGTCACCGACATAAAAAGTTTGGAAATCTCTGTCTTTATACTATCAGCATGCATTCCACAATTGTAACTTCCTGAGAAGAACAAACATTTGCCAAGTCCACTTTACTGTTTGCAGAACTTGTTACAAACAGTTCTCACAGGCTTCATTCCAAGATGCCTCCTTCAAGGATGGAGCATCTGCTATGTTCTCTCTTTTGCATGGCTTTTGTTGTTGTTGTTTAGTCGTTTAGTCGTGTCTGACTCTTCGTGACCCCATGGACCAGAGCACGCCAGGCACTTCTGTCTTCCACTGCCTCCTGCACTTTGGTCAAACTCATGCTGGTAGCTTCAAGGACACTGTCCAACCATCTTGTCCTCTGTCATCCCCTTCTCCTTGTGCCCTCCATCTTTCCCAACTTCAGGGTCTTTTTCAGGGAGTCTTCTCTTCTCATGAGGTGGCCAAAGTATTGGAGTCTCAGCTTCAGGATCTGTCCTTCCAGTGAGCACTCAGGGCTGATTCCCTTAAGAATGGATAGGTTTGCAAAACAGGAATTTGTTTCTAAATGGGAGGTTTTCAAAGAATATCTGAAAAATAAATATAGTAGTTTAAATTCTGTTGCAACGTTCGAGGAACTTCAGTAATAGTTGCTAGGTAGATAGAATAAATTAGATTTATTGAGAATAAGTTTAATTATGAAAAAAAATGTGTATTGGCAATAAGTAATATGAATTTGAAATATGGAATAGACGGGAAGTTGGGTCTTTAGTGTTAAGACCAATAGATGTTTTATTGTTTGCCAAGAAAATTATGTGTCTATGGTTATTTTTGTAATTTGTGTGTAATTTGGTATTTGTGTTTTTTTGTGTGTTTTTTTTCTTGTTGTATAAATAAATATTTTTTAAAAAAAAAAAGAATGGATAGGTTTGATCTTCTTGCAGTCCATGGGACTCTCAAGAGTCTCCTCCAGCACCATAATTCAAAAGCATCAATTCTTCGGCGATCAGCATTCTTTATGGTCCAGCTCTCACTTCCATACATCACTACTGGGAAAACCATAGCTTTAACTATATGGACCTTTGTTGGCAAGGTCTCTGCTTTTTAAGATGCTGTCTTGGTTTGCCATTGCATGGCTTTTACTGTTCCTTAATACTGTAACGTGTCTACTGCCAGTCTTATCTGACCTCGTCTATGTCTGTGTCTCGTCAGTAAATGTACCTTAGAAAAAATATGCAACGGGCAATTGTATACAGAAGCCGATATTTAGCATGTTTAATTAAATAAATAACTAGTATTTCTAATTTTTCTAACAGTAGATTTAGTTGGGAGAACTTACTAGGGATCTGCAGTTAAGGCTTGAGGAGCAGGAAAACAAAGGCTGTAGTTAGCTGGTGGTCTCCGTTTTTTAACATGGCTTTTATTGTATATATGTATTGTTGTAAAAAACTTTTAGTTTTTTTAAATGAATAGCAGTATGCACATATTTTTATAAATAAATAAATTGAAATTGAAATTTATGGTGGAGGAAACTCCAATGAAATGGAGCATGCTATGAGATGCTTTTCTTGCTTCACTCTAGGAATTATTGTTTATTATTATTTTTCTATCTGTGTTGCACATTATCATCCAGTTGCTCAAGTTTATATTCCCTAACTGGTTTATGACAAATGGTGGTTGGGTACTGCATTGTGTGCTGGTGGAATTCAACATCATGCTCTTCCAATCTGTGCAAGTATTTCAGCTTGCATTTGTTCCCCACTTGTAAGAACTCAATAGTTTAGTGTGGCAGCTCCTACACTTGGGAATTCTCTGCCTATCCAGCACTATCCTATCACTGTATTCCTTTTGGCTCCTGCTAAAAACAGCCTTGTCATGC